CGGAATTTCTAATGAACCGCCAAGTTCGAGCTGAGCATGGAGTTAAAGGGGTTAACCGGCTAATATTTCACCGGGTCCTTTGCACCCCTGCGCAAAGACTATGGTTATTAAAACATATTGCGGCAATATTCCTTGGTGCGGGAGAGGTGAAGGCGCCGCGGCCGCGTGCGCTCAGCGGCTCGTCGGCCACTGCGATGCGAAGGCGCCGTGAACTTGCGTGCGTTAGATAGGCAGGGTTGTTGGGGAGGGCGGTAGGGAGGCATTCGCCATCTCTTGGATGCCATTCTCCGCTCTGCTGCCTCCCCCACCGTATTTAGGAACTTCCTTCCACCAGCCATTCGTGCTGTCGAGTCCCCGCACATTTTAAAAGCGCTGGCGATTGTGTGCCTACGTCATCGGGCAAATTCGAAAAATGACAAAAATATGTATGAAACTGAACCTGGGGGAAAAAATAATGTCTCTTTTGTAACGGCAGGATTGCAGGTCTCTCGAGCAAACGTTTATCAATCTTAATTGGTCACTCATCAGCCAGGGTTAATCCACTGTTGAATGAAGGCCTCCTCAAACGACCACCACATATCACCATCATGCAATCTAATAATCCACCTAGTCACCTGCCATCAAGCTTTTTGTTAATCGAATTATCTTCTACTCTTGATTTAAAGCTTTCGTGACTGCAGGGATTCATATTCTTGGTTGTTTCGGTAAAGTCACCACGTAGAAGGGAAACAATAAAATAATAAAAATATAAAAAAAATTCTCACGACGTTTCGACTGCAACACAAGCAATCATCATCAGGTGTGAAAACCACAGCAATAATTTTTTTCTTCAAATTGTTTTGCTGTGGTTTTCACACCTTGTGTTGCAGTCGAAACGTCGTGAGAATTTTATTGTTTTATATTTTTATTATTTCATTGTTTCCCTTCTACGTGACTCTACCGAAAGAACCAAGAATATCTTCTACTCCGTTGAATTTTTTTGAGTTTTGTATAAAAAACATTACCGGAGAATGTTTTTTTTGTTTTGTTTACTTAGAGCCAAGAGTTTAGGAGCCGCGGGCAATTGCAGAGTTAGTTTTGTTTGGCGCCCAGCGAGATTCACTGATGGGGTCCGCGCTGGCAAACTGTCACGACACTTAGCGCAGCGCCACTATCACCGCCGCAGTGTGGGGGTCCGTCAGTGGCAAATGTGGCTGCAGAGCTTTTAAATTGCGCCTTCAAGGCCTCGTTGCATTTTTAGTGCCGAGTTGGAAAAATCGTGGGGATGACTCGAGAAATTCAAGATGTTTTCTCCCCATAACCCAGACGTTGCTTTGTTCCATGACACAGCAACGCTGCCTTCCAAAAATCATTGCGCCCGTCGCCTCGTAACTTTGCCTATTGCAGCTCTAATACATTGCATGTGGCCGGGAATTTTAACTCTGGGTTGCCGGGTTCGTAGCGCAGCGCAGCGCGCAGAGCGCAGCGCGCACCGACCAGTGTGGTGAAGTATGGTCAAATAAACCCTACGGCCTGCATGCCATGGAAAGGCGTTCATAAAACGGATTGACAAAGGGGATGTGTACATATTGTATTGCGTTTTTTTCTTGTTTGTTTAATTTTTTACTTTTGTCTGCTTATACTATTACTATTCTGCCCAGACCATAAATATGGGATGGGTGTTTATTATTTTATTTTTATTATTATATATATAACAAAAATTGATGTGCACGTTGAAGCTCCGAATGCTAAATTGCATGCAGCTGGGCGACCTGTCAATAAGTGAGACTCTTGACGATCACTCCCCGCGTGCCCCAGACCTTGTCCAACCGCAGTCGCTTCTGACTTGCGGTCGTGTTTGTTTCACGTGAGAGCGATTAGCCGTGCAGTGGCCTCGGCTTAATATGCGTGACCAGGTCAGCGAAGCCCCGGGGGTTGCGTCGTGTGTCCCATCCGCACGTGCAGGGAACCAGGGGGAGAGCGCTCCCCCCATCTCTACAAATTGTTCACACACGTTCTGTATGTTATCCGCAAGTGGGGATATCAAAGATTCTCCTGTGTGTGTGTGTGACCGTGGCTGTGAACTCTCAAGCAAAGTGAGCGTGTAACTTTGCACTGACCAAAATATAAAGAATGAAGGTGGCGAGTGGGTGGGTTGTATCTGAAATCACCAACTCTTAAACGCAGCAACGGAACGGCTAAATCACTTATCTTTAGTTGCCCTTGATAGGTTAATACACAGAGATGAACGGCGCGATTCATTCAAAGGCACGGCCCCGCCGATTTCGAATATGCCCCTTTTACTTTATTCTCAACAATTGACTGAATATTTTAACAGCGACTGCTCCATATCTTACGGAGGAGCATTAAATATTTTAAGAGGTGTATTGAGATTGGTGGGAGACGTGTGCAATTGAGTCGTCGAGATGAAATGTTGATTTCTTTTAAAATCATTCCTGATATAGCAATGGGGTGTCTGCAAATGGATCACCCTGTATATTTACCATGTACTGTACTCGTAACCGGTAGCGGCGATGTGGCGGTTAGCGCACTGCACCGTGAATGCAGCAATTCAAGTTTGACTTCCCCCGCCATGGCTAACATCCAGTGGTGAGTGGTATCTGAAACATGTCCTGGGTCTTTCCTTGTCTCCCTTTACCAACTAGCTCTGGGCCAGCATGCTGAAGTATGATCAAATAACCCCCATGACTGACACGGTGTGGGGGGGGGGGGATACACACACACAATCTAGGAGTGGTTTGACAAAGTGTTATTTTAGTCACCAGCGAGTAGCAAAGCCTCACCTGCAATCACAGCTAGAGCATCGCGGCTTCACGGATTCGCCGTTAACTGGGGTCGTGTGGGGGGTGACGGTGTTAGGCACGACACTTTAAAGTAAATTTGGAACTCTAGGCTGGACTTTCCGTGCGAGTGAAAGTGATTGATATCCAAGCCATCGTTGGTGACCCAGGTCGCTCCATGCAAATGAGACTATATCCTTTTCTATCCCTCGTCTCTTGAGTTATATCACTTGGTTAGACAAAATCATCTTGAACTTGATTCATTACCTGGGGTAACAATTGAGAAAAAAAAATTTGGGGGGGGGGGATTTTCTGATTTATAAGCATCGCTTTAACTGTATTTGTGCCAGGTTTCACCTGCTCGGCACTTCCAGAACGTCATTAGAATTGGCATGAGTCACACAGCCAGTCGCCATCGTCCCGAGCCATTAGATGCACCCTTATGTTATGCATGAGCACGTGTTTGTGTTTGTATACAGGGTAGGGACATGTCACACCAAAGCTAATTTTTAACCTCACCGTAAATGCGCATCCATAAATGTTCGTAAAAAAATAAATGCATCAGTATGATTTATGAAGTGCTTTTGCACGGTGAGTCATCTCTTAACGCGCCTTCGCCAGAACGTGGTTGTTCTATTAGGGAATACTTTTCACATCATGCAGAACGTGCCCGTTATAACGCAGAAGGAAGGTGCCCGTTATAACGCAGAAGGAACGTGCCCGTTATAACGCAGAAGGAAGGTGCCCGTTATAACGCAGAAGGAAGGTGCCCGTTATAACGCAGAAGGAAGGTGCCCGTTATAACGCAGAAGGAAGGTGCCCGTTATAATGCAGAAGGAACGTGCCCGTTATAACGCGGAACGCGCACCGTTATAACGCAGTTTCTGAGCGGTCGACGACGAACTACATTCTTGAGCTGCGCGGTTGAGCGGTACAATACTCTTTGCAGAATGATACGGTAAAGCGGCGGCCTTACCCTCATTGCGGTTCTTGGGAAGACTGCAGGCTAAGTTTATTGTACAGTTGTGATTCAGTAACTCAATAATTCCTCGCTTCACGCGGTTATTGCTTCACGTGGAACTTTTCAAGAACGCAACTGCCCTGTTAAACGAAGGATCATCACTAATAGAGCAAAACCTTGGATTGCGAGTAACTTGGTCTGCGAGTGTTTTGCAAGACGAGCAAATTTTTAAAAATAAATATTAATTTGATAAACGAGCGAGGTCTTGCAATACGAGTAGTACGTGTACGCTTTGTCTACCGAGCGTCACGTGATCACAACTGATGTACGAGTGGTTTGATATACGAGTGCTTTGGATTACAAACACGTTTCTGGAACGAAGTATGCTCGCAATCCAAGGTTTTACTGTATATAACAAGTGTGAATTATGCTGCTGTTCAGGAGTGGTGGCTATCCTTTTCGATTTATTCTGGGCACTCCTGGTTTCCTTCCAAATGCAAATCACTCTTTATAAATTAACCAGTGCTCAAATGTCCCAGTGCAGGGACCCTCGGTTGCATTTGCATGCTTTATACACACACATCCCTTGCTCGATCCACTGCTGGATGTGGGCCTCCCCCACGCAGTGCCAGGTTGTGAGGATTATTTAACCATATTTCACCACTCTGGCCAGTGCCGGTTGATGACGTCGGGGAACGTAGACCTGGGAGCGTAGAGGTACAGCACAACCGCGGTTGTTTCTGCACTGAGCTCTGCAGCCCATATTGTACAAGGCCACAGCCTATGACACCTATTATGCACGGCGGTTGCCCATCCGGGTACTTGAACAGGCTCAGCCCCGTTTAACTTGCAAGATCTGACAAGATTAGGCGTCTTCCTGGTAATCTGGCTTAGACGCTTCAGGAATCAAAACCTTCTTTGTTGTTGCCGTCGTGGTTGTAATCGGGCGATGACATGGCCTAGCGGTAGCTCATTTGCCGCTTATGGCGGAGGTTCCACGGTTCGAATCCGGCAAGCTGCCCTGGTTATTACTGCGGTACGAAACGGAGGTGCGAATCGAAGGGCCATTGTGTGTGGGCATCACGTTTAAAATTTGACAGGTATCTGAAGTTTACTCCATTTGGGTTGATATGTGGCAACCATGCCTCCCTCACTGTGAAATCCTGGCAGGGCTCTCCCTGAACGAGAATCGCGATACTCAGGGACGCTTTATTGGGTGAACGAGCACAATACAACATTAACAATTTATTTTTGTTCAGGGCTTTTTCCGCCGGAGCATCCAGAAGAACATGGTGTACACATGCCACCGGGACAAGAACTGTGTCATCAACAAGAACACGCGCAACCGCTGCCAGTACTGCCGCCTGCAGAAGTGCTTCGAGGTCGGCATGTCCAAGGAGGGTGAGTGAGGGGCACAGATCGACAAGGAGCCACCAGCACACACCGAGACAAAGGTTCCTCCCCGTATAGCCTTAAGTAGACCGTTGGGGCAAGAGTTGTTTGCGAGCACCTATGAAGGCACACGACTTGCTGGGTGGTCGGCACCACGCCCGACCGCCTTTGTCTCTCCATTGCTGACGTTTACAAGCCGCGCCAGGTACTCACTTGAGGCCCAGTTGACCGAGAGGAGGCCCCGCGACCGCTTCGGATATTCCTCGCTACTGATGCTGGCCGTGAAAAAGGAATCGATTTCAGGTCGCCGAGTTTGTAGTGCGGTTGTGCCAACCAACCGTGCCTCTGCTGCCCACGTGCACACTTGAGACAGCGTTTGCCTCTCGTTGAAGTAGAGGTCAAAGGTTGTTAGCGCTGAATCTTGCTCTCGTTGCCATCCGCCCCCCCTGCCTTGCGTGCATGACGCAGCGGTGAGGAACGACCGCAACAAGAAGCGGAAGGAGGCGCCGGTGGCGGTGGCGGCGGCGGTGCGCAGCCCCGAGGTGCCGCCTGAGCGGCACGAGCTGAGCTGCGAGCAGGAGCAGCTGGTCGACAAGATCCGCAAATCTCACCAGGAGACTTTCCCGTCGCTCTGCCAGCTTGGCAAGTACACCACGGTGAGTTGGGAGCCGGCCGGGCGGGGTGGGCGCAGGGTATGTGGGCACGTATGTCGAACTCGAGCAAAGTGACACTAAAGAGTTCAGCTTTGAAATGTCATTCTGCTATTTTTTGGGGGTATGCGGTGACGTGGCCCAGAGCAGTTGCACTTTTGCGGCTAATTGAAAAAAGGCTGCCCTTGGTTAACACCGCGGGTGTAGTGACCGTAAAATAAACACCCACCTGCTTCACAGTGGATGTTAAGGATCCAGGGAATTCATTCTCAAGGAATGGAGTGCGTCCCGGCACCACGTTTCAAACTTGAAAGATTACCCTCAAATTTCTCGATACACGTGGCAACCATCACCCCCCCCTACTGGCAGACTCATGCCCATTTGCAGGCCAGTGGCTGAGTCGCTTTGTGCCAGAAAGGGACAGCTGCCACTTGGGTTGCCCTTTAAATGTTTGAAAGGAGATGTCCTGAGGCATTTGGGCAACACATAAATTCCAAGGTTATTATTATAATGTCTATTGTTTTGTTTTTGGTCGGCAAACATTTCCTTCATGAGTAATTATATCAAATAATCCCTTAGATCTGGTGCTTCCAGATGTACTACTTGGGAGGCGCATCATGTCAACACCGTATATGCAACACACGACAGAAACGACATTTGAAGGCTAAACTTCTTCAGTGTCACTTCATTTGAGATAATGTTCTGACCCGCATCCTACGACATCTGTGACCAAGAGCTTTGTGGCTCATCAGATTCCTCCATTATCAATAAATATTCTGATTCTGAAATAGTCTGAATCTAATACTAAATGTGATATAGCCATGTAGGCCTGTGGGCTTGTGGTCACCAGCCCACCTTGAAATATGACATGCATTCACCATGCAGAGTTAAAAAGTATATACTTATCTTTTTTCTATATTTCATTCCCATTGTGTTGTCGGTATCATGAAATGAAGCATCAATTCGTAACTATCACAGAGCATTGTAATCTCTCTGTGTGTTTGAGAACAATGGACCCGCAGAAGTAGCTTTTGGAAACTATTTCTGAAATCCCTTCAGCACTGTTATGCACGCATTGCTTCCTAGACACGTTTATTGCTTGGTAATGAAACCGCAATTTTTCAATCTCAGAGCTGCAATTTAGACAAATCAGACGATTGATAAATTTCTTATTTACGTGGGTAAAGAAATATCCTTTAAGCTGTTTTAGATGAATGACCCTCGGAGGAACCCTGGTGAAAGAAAGTTCCTGCACATAACTCGTAACATTGCAGACAATGAGTAGCAAAGACGTTTGAGGAAGACGCCATTCAAGTAACACTGGCAGCAGGTAACACAGAAATAAAACACCAACTCACGTGGGGCACGATGACCACATGTGCCCGAAAATGGATATTTTAAAATCAAGGAATGCATTTAAACAGGTCGGGGAAGGAATTTTTACTTGAAACGTGGTTTTTTTTTGGAGACACCAGCTTGAGTCCATCAACTCACTACACTTGAGAACCCAGCTTTAATCGCAGGTGGTTGAAATCCATATTCTAATCCAGGTTCTCAGCGGTACTGGCTCCATGGCTGTGACCCCCTGAGCCCCACCAGGCCACTTCTGTGCACACAGGATTAAAAAAAGAATGAAAACAATGCCCCACACGAGGGACCATTTCCAGGACGTGCAGTCCAGTGGATTCTGCGTCGTGTGATAATGGGGCTGTACGCGTGAGCATTATTTCGATTGGCAGAATAATGAGAAAATGTGAGGGGTTTTTTGGCATGGAGGCAGGCGAGCGAGTAGGAAATTCGACACTCTTTGTCTTCCTGTAGGGGAGTGGCGGTATAGTCGTAGCTCTGAATCTGGTGACTAAAGTTAGATTCTCCACCACAGCTAACATCCGTGACAAATTATATGAGAACCAGTCCTGCCCTTCCATGTAGTCCTCACCAGTCCGCACTAACCAGTTTGGTGAAGTATGCTTAACAAATACCCGTGACTTACATGATATGGGGAGGCTTTCATCCATTGGTGGATTGATAATAACGGTCATTTCCTTGTCTACTTTGTGTCGATGACTTTGTGACCACATTGAACCTGCAGGTATGAGCTCAGAAAATCCATGAGCCATGTGGCACCCGTTTTGTGAAAATCGTAAAAATGTTCACAGGCAGTCGATGCCTCGCGCCCATTCAAACTCGCCCTTAAAAAGTAACGTGAAGAATGATTTTTAAGTTGGATCATGCGCATTCCTGATTCGGAATTCGCCACCCGGTACATACGTACCACGCACGTACGCCCGTGGACATACGGTCCAACAAAATGCTAACAGCACCGTGCTGACCGCGCGTTTAGGATGCTCTCGCTAAAGGAATCTTATTTTAGCCTTGGCCGTTCGCGACAGTGTCTAAAATAATCCTTGTTGAGCGTGTAACTCCTGTAATGTTATTGCAATAATTAGCAGCCCCAGAATGTCATACGCGCACGTGTAAAAAAAAATCTCCTTGTTAAAAGTGTAACGGTCCCCTGTAGGTCATAGGTACCCTTTGGGCACGGCCGAGTGTGGGTGCGGTTATCTGAATCATTAGACCTGGCACGAGCGTGCGTCCGCCGCGGCCTCGGGAGGGGAGGGCTCACCGCCGCCATCGTGCGCCAAGGGGAATGCTTTTTGAGCAGCTGTGCCAGCGTCCCTGGGCAAGGCATGCACACCATGGGAGATGCGCGCACCCATACTTCCACAAATGTGGAAAGATCAAAGAATTGTCGAAATGGTGATGTCGCTACCATTTGTACAGCGTCTACTGCTGCCCCCTTGGATTGGTTGGGAAAAAAACGTAGCATTCCATTGCAGTGTGTTTCACAACTGTTGCTTTTCCATCCTGCCATATGAAAGAAGAAAAAGAAGGGCCAGGGATCCTGGTGCACGAACCAAGAACCCCGTTGGGCCAGCAGTGAAAATGTGACAGAGGGCTAATGGCAGCAGACGCGATCTCTCTCCCTTGTAATCTACAGTGTGATGCCCTCCTTACTCGCCGCATTAACATCAGCCATGGGTGACGATCATGCCAAGTTGTCACCGTCTGTCGCGATCCTGCAAAATAGCAATCCATCAAGCACCCTGCACGTTAGCTGATTTCGTCAATCCATATCCCTACTGAACGTCCTCTCGGGCACGTTGCCTCCCATAGCTGACGCTCCGCTATTGCTCCGCTGTTAGCCTCGACTACCGGCCATCATCTCTTTGGGGTTTTTTTCGCCATCATCCCTTTGTTTGAGGTTTCACGAAAATGTCTGCTGCCGTGTGACCGAAATGGCCACACGGAAGCAGACAACCTTGGTCTTCTTCTTTCGTATGACTGATGGAGATGCAGAGGAACACCAACTTCAATTTCACATTCAGATGGTCAAGCCGGATAACCATGTCAGGAGCAGCGGAGTGTATCGCTGTAATGTCTCCTTCGTATTTTTGGATTGCCAGATGTTAACTACCTCGCCTGGTATACAGGAGGTCGTAGGTTCAATCCCAACCGGTTTTTTCCTTTACATTTAGAATCAACATGCGTTTAGATTATTTGGCTGCTATAAATTTCCACGTGATAAGCCGCTTCGTTGAGCTATCATTTGTGGTAGCCAGGTTGCTTCTGAAAAATAGATATATAGTTCAGTGGGCCTTACCTGGTGAAATAAAAAAAATAGTCCATATGTTGTATGGTCTGTTCTGGATCACCAAAGTCGCACAGCAGTGCATCCCCACAGAACGAGAGCGAAATCTAATTGAACGTCTCTGCGAACGTATCGCTTTTGACCGGAACGCACCGAGGCTACCGACTAATAGTAGGCAAAGTAGACACAGAACAGGATGTGGCTCCCTGGCGACGGAACGTCAACACAAGCGAGCGGATTTCTGCAGGAAGGCACGGCACAATGATATATATTAACGTCTCGTGTTGACTTGCACATTAAGATCCGCACCGTATTTTTAGAACAAGCGAAGAGGGTCAGCCGGGTTTGTTGGAAGCTGCGGTCCAGGTTCGCGCACTGACAAAATTGGCTGAAGGCGCATCGCCATGGCGATTTTTGCCCCGTTGCTGGTGACGGAGACATGTTGGGTGTAATTTCAACAACAATCGGATGAAATTTATGTTTCCATTGTTTGTTGTATTTGTTTTCTTAAGTGAGAAATTATAAATGTAATTTTTCCTTGGGACAGAAGTGATGTACATATTCATAAACACAATCATCGGCCGCGGATGAAGTCTGCTTATTAAATTTGTGAAATGCAGAATAACAAAGTCAGAACTTCTCGCTTGAAACAGGATGATCCTTTTATAGACACTCCTATTAAAAATCAATGCCCCTTCGCTTACTTGCCACTAAATGTTGAAATCAATCTAATCAGCTATGTTGGCCAAAGTGTATCAAGAGAGCGCTAAAAGATTTAAGTGTAGTTAAAAGATCCAAGTGTATTATTGCATTTGGTGAGAGATATGCAGACAGAGGCTTTGAAATAAAATGTTGTACACTGTAATTTCTCCCTATTATTTTAGTGGGGTATCTATAAATGGATGACCCTCATTCTGAGATTTTTTCCTTCTCATTCGTTCCACCTTAGCGTCGCTGTTGTTTATGCCCGCCCGACGGTGCTGTTAAGACGCTTTCACGAAATGACTGATGCGACCATTCGAGCGGTCACCATCGTTTTCTCAACTTGGACCGAATGAGGGTGGTGGGGGGGGGGAGCACGATAGTGATTGAAGCGCACCCCCCTTCCCCCTGCTCTCTCCCTTGCCCTCTCTGGAAAAATAATAATAAGTCATTTCAAAAAAATTATGGTGGGGAAACGCATATGGGGCCGGCTGCCGGGTGTCCGTAAGGCGTAGAAAATAATCTGCGATCTGCCGGTTCAGAGGTCAGGCAGCCCAAGGGCACACATGGGCCCCGTCATCCATCAAGGAAACACTCAATCCATCATCGGAGAGGAAGGCCCTTTTAGCCTGCCCACGGGCGAGCGGGGCCACGTGGCCGCAGCCGCCGCCGTGTTAATAACCGTTAGAGTCACACGCTGAAAAATAAGGGCTTTGTTAACGAAGACGGAAAATAGATTGTCCTCCAACAGGCACCAGAAACAGGGCCAGGGTTGTGGGGCCTTGTGAGCAGCGACGTAATGGGTTACGGTACAGCCCCGTAGGGTCTGGTTGGGGCTGCCCCCCCCCCCTCCAACCATCCTCCCCCCCCCTCTCTCTACTGAAGGTTGAGCCTCCCTTTCTAAATTCTTAGAGTCAAGACATTGGGCTCTGTCGCCGCTGCCCCCTCCTGAGTTGTTGTAGACCCCCCCCCCCCGCGCCTCGTTAAACAAGGTCACTCTGCGGGGTTGTTTGGGGTTAGCGAGTGTTGGATTGGGGTTTTGGTGAATGCCGGATTCTCGGAAGTCCTCCTTTTTAGAGCCGCACTTTGAAGGCTTTGTGACGCCGTCGTTTCAGACCCCGCCGCGCTCCCCCTTGAGAATTGGGCTCCGCACTCGCGCTTGAGGTTAAAAAAAATAAAATTTGAAGACGAAAACAAAACCCAAAAATTCCCACTCGTGTGCGGGGAGGTGGGAGAAACATGGAGAAAGGGGGGGGGGTGTCAGGTTGCTTAAGCTTTAAAAGACTGCGCTCATTAATTATCTTGATTCCTTTGCGTGCTCTACTGCCTCTTGGTGGCCAAGCGTGGCGATTTCAGCAGTGCATTGCAGGCATTCGGATATTTTTTTCTCCAGCTACTGTAATCGCAAAAAGAAAGGTCCCCCGGCCACCTTTGTTGTTGTCGCTGCCTCGCCATTGGAAAAATTCGTATTTTGATATCACTCGAAGCAACGGGCCGTTACGCATATTGGAAAAGGCGACCAGATTGTACTTTTGTTGTACTCGTGGAATGAATTGGACAACAACATGGCCTTGAGAAAACGTACTCGCAATCTGGGTATACCAATAGTACAGACTGACTGGTTCACCTTCCCATTCCCTTCAATGTCATGGTTTGAGGGGTCACAATTCGAGCCAAGATTTGATTATTTTATTTTGTATATATATTTTTTACTGCTTCTTGTTTTTTCTCACTTGTTCCGTCTAAATTGTACAGGTTTGTTCACGCCAGGAACCAAAATGCAACATTGTCAGATAATTTGTACAATGTTGCCACGTTATTTGCGCTAATTTTTGCGTACATTTTTACACGCTCAAATTCAACGCGTCTATTCTGATGAAGGAAATGTAGCACGATGCCCCTAGCACGAATATTTAAAGAATAGTTTATCGTTCCCTCTTATTCGCGCTGTCGCGGGTAATTTTCCCAATTAAACGTCATAATTTCGCGCAACTTGCACACGTACGTGCAAACCATCAGTGACCGATTCCAACGTGTTCCCATCGCACGTGCGTGCAGTGTCGCGAGCGCGAGAAGCGATTCCGACTCGACGAATCGTCTCAACGGATGTGTGTCTGTGTGTGCGCTCCCCGCGCCGGCGTTTCCACCGCTGCTCCCTGCAGAACTCATGCGCGGACCACCGCGTGCAGCTGGACCTGGGCCTGTGGGACAAGTTCAGCGAGCTCTCCACCAAGTGCATCGTCAAGATCGTGGAGTTTGCCAAGCGCTTGCCGGGGTTTCCCAGCCTGACCATCGCCGACCAGATCACGCTGCTCAAGGCAGCCTGCCTGGAGATTCTGGTGAGCCCTGGTGCCCCTCGCTCGCTCGCTCGCTCACTCGCTCAACGACTCGTTTCGTTAGTGCACTTGCTTAGTTATCGTCAGGAGCCCTGAGATCTCTATCCACTGCTGGATGAAGGCCTCCCCAAGCCGTCGCCGTGTCTGGCGCAGCGATCGCTCACTTCTCAAGTTAACGGTCGCTCGCTTACCTGCTTAATAAAATCACTCGTTTTGCACTTGTGCAGTGTTGTGGAACACTCGGCGTCATCATCATCAGTCCACTGCGGGATGAAGGCCGTCGCCACTTCTCACGGATCCAGGCCAGCCGCCTGTGATCAAACTGGGCCCTCAAGTGTAGCGACTTGTTTAATGGTCTCAGCCCGATCACTAATGATTGTCATGCGATGAACGTTACTCTCATGTGCAGACGATGTGGAAAGATTGCTTGCCCCCGAACGGATTCTTCCACCTCGTGATGTGACGCTGACGTAGCACAATCTGGATAACATGAGGGGAAAAGATAAAAAAAACTGAAGGAAAAGAAGATGTGATTGTATTGTATGCGCCTGGTTTATTGTGAAATGCAATTCCACAGGGTTAACTTTTTTGTTGTAAATGTCGTCTCTTTTACACTTGCAGCACATTTGCTTTAATATTACGCTGTGATCACTGCTGAATATTTCCATTGCAGGAAATTTTATATTTCGCCAATGTACATAATTAATTCCGTGGCACTACAACCCAAGTCGCGTGACAAATGGTTGCGTTTTTACGCACACCGAGTTTAGGCGTGCGTAATTATATCGTGGCACTATGTTGTCTCTATTTATTGTAAACAGACGCACGTCAAAGCCACATATCTTAACGTACAATTGGGTGCCGAAGACTCAAATCTCTTGTCCGTGTATTCTATTTCCCCACCATCACTGAATGTCAGATTTCCATCAGCCCATGCCACTAACAGAATGTTGTGTGTGAGTCTGTATCTGTTTCTTTTTTACGGTCATATGTTTTTGAGCAATATTTTTTTTTGCCAGCTTGTTGAAAAAGATTGTCCTTTAAACTGTCAGGCCCTGCCAGAAAGACAGATTAAGTGACCGCAATTGACCGATACTCGAAGTCATATTTCAGTCCCTGTGGGGATGATTTAACCTCGTGTGCTTTCTCTGACCGGCCTAACAATGCATCATGGGCTCTACAGAACAAAAGAAAAGTACGAAATTGTTTTTCGTTTTCTGCGTCCATGCCACTGTCCACTGATCTTTTAGTTCGTCTTAACAATTAGCAATTCCCGTTAGGGCCACGGACCATAATGCGGAGAGCATTTTTGGTTTCACGAATTTTTTTTCGCGATTGTTATGCACGTTAACCTCTCTCTCTCCCGCATTCCTCCTTGTAGAGAAAGCTGTTCTCGAAATGTGTGTTGAAACGTGCGATTGTTGAGAATTTACAAAAATAAATTTGATTGATCATGGAATAAATAAGCAGACCTGGTTGTCTCTACATAAATATATATAAAATTGTTAGTTCATCAGCCCATGGTACTTTCCAGACCAATATCGTCACATATTCGACCATCAAATATCCACCCCGACCGTTTAACCGCCCACACCCGATGCAGGATTTTTGGATTTATCCGACCGTTTTAACATATCCGGATATACCTCGGTGCGCGGCAAATCATCTATGCAGTACTGTACTGTATTTTATTTAAACAAACACATTTTGGACCCATCCGGAGAGCTCAGGCTTGTCAAACAAACTGCCGGCTAGACATTTCCAAAAGCACCCTGTCTGCAAGTCAGCACTGTGGAAATTGCAACATAAAACTCAAATTAATTGGGTAGGTAAGACCGTACTGTAAGGCGTGCTGACAGAGACTGTTAAGGCTGAGGCCTTCTTAATAGGTAGAAGCCAGCTGGCTGTTGTCCTGCATGGCTGCGTGTGTTATTTGCCGCTGTTTTGTCAAGCGCTGGAAGTGAGGCGCGTCAAGTAGCTGTTTCGCTCGTCACGCGATTGATTCCATTCCCGCACGAAGTGAGGCGTCTCGCGGCTCACGGCAGCTCGCGCCGATTGGCACGTACCTCCTCTGGTGTTGCACTTTTCACGCTGCGTCGTTTGCTACTGCCCGTCGCCCTCCTCTGTTTGGTTAATCGCTTGTGACCAAACTGCCCGGCATTTGCAGTCACTCGCGGCCTACAGCGGCGGTATCTGCTTCATCTCTCCGTGCGGATTGCTTTGGTCTTCTTCGCTGCCCGTCGCTCGGTCGTATACAGTGCGCGTGGCGGGAGCGACTCCGTTGTAACTCCGCGCCGCTTGACCTTTGCGTCCTGCTCCTGGAATAATGTCGCCCTCTTTGCGCCGATTGTCGCTCCGTGTGCGACAGTCGTAAGCCCGACCACAAGGTGGGGGGCGCAAGTAGTACCCCCTCCCACCACCGACTGACCCCCACCCCCTACACTCACCATCGATTACCCGCGACCTTCATTTGGGGAGATGTCGCCCATTCTCTGCGTGTGGAGTGATGAGCTTAGCTGCGCCCATGATGGCTCACTTGGTGAGATGAGTTGTGCGATAGCCTGGAAAAGTTGCTTTATAATGGGGACCGGGCTGTTGCGAGATAGTTAGGGCACATTGTCTTTTTGTTCTTGTCATTGTGGTGTTTTTTTTCTTTTTACATCGTTGCATGATTGTTCAGTTACGCTCTAAAATATATAAATAACAATTTTCACGTTCTTTGAATATACACAATCGATTCAACAATATCGGTCCCCAATTTTGCAAAAAAAAATCATTATAACTGATTGATTATATGCACCCTTGGAATTGAATTCCATTAACCTTATCTTGCCTCTGCAGTGCCTCTTGAAGCTTATCACAAACACAAGGTCTGCCGTGCTGGCAGTAACACTGTATCATTTTGGGACTGTGCGAGGAACATATCAATAAGGGCTGATGGAGTGCTGCGTTTCGGAGGGTGTGGGCATTCACAAATGATCCTCAAATGTACATCTGTCTTCGAGGCTGAAACAGACTCAAGTGCCGTGCAAAACAAACTCGGGGGATTTAGATTTAAGGGTGAGTCACGGCTGCACCCCGTGACTCCGTCTGGGCGTGAGGCCAAATCCAGCCCAAGGGCGTTTTGACGATTATGCCACTGTATGTTTAGCGATATGTGCATAGAATTACACTTGTAACCAGACAGTAAGAGCAGCATGCGAAGATCAGAACATGTATGCATGTTGGAGGCGTCATAATAATAACAATAATGTAACAGCCCTTTTGTCAATCCACTGCTGCAAGAGTTCATTCCCACGCTGTGGAGGTCACGGAGGTTGTTAGACCATGCTTTGCCATGCGGGTTGGTAAATGGCAAGGCGAGGAGCTGAGACTGGTTCTGATTTCACTCGGGTGGCTAGGTTCAGCTCGATTGGGACCTTGAATCGAGCCCAGGTGGCCAGGTTCATAATGCAGTGCACGAACGACTGTGCACCACTCCACCGCCGAGAGAAGTCATAATTGACTGTTAAGAAAGTAAGTGGGCTTACGCAAGACGCCTTGTTAGAATGGATGATCGTTGATGGTGGAGACTAACGATGGTGTGGGAGCCAAAGGAAGAAAACACGTCTGTACGGACGTCTACCACAGAAATGGAGTGATGAAATCAGCTCATTTGCAGGTTGTAAGAGGGTGATTACCTTGCAGGATTATGAGATAGAGTTGGTGACGGCTGGCCAAGACCCTCATCCAGCAGTGGATTGATCATGGCTGATGATGATGATTGATCTGTTATTGTGCGGCCTGCCAAAGGTATTTGAAAGTCCTAGTCATCCCTCGGCAAGGATGTGTTCCCCACTGCTGAGCCAGGTGGATCTTGGCATCGAAGTAGCGTAAAGGATGGCGGTGGCGACATTGTTCTGAGGAAGGGAGGGGGGGGGGAGGAGGATGCCTTCGTCCAGCAGTCGATAGATCACGGCAATAACAACACGCTCACGTGACATCGCTGCTCGCCTCTCTCCCCACCGATTGTCGCACCAGATCTTGAGGATCTGCACGCGCTACACGCCGGAGCAGGACACGATGACGTTCTCGGACGGGCTGACGCTCAACCGCACGCAGATGCACAACGCGGGATTCGGGCCGCTCACCGACTACGTGTTCGCCTTCGCGGCTCAGCTGCTGCCGCTGGAGATGGACGACGCGGAGGCCGGGCTGCTCAGCGCCATCTGCCTCATCTGTGGAGGTCGGTCGGTCGTGTTCGCCGTGGCGGCTCCGTTGTCGGTCACTGTTAAACACGACTCTTTAAAAAAAATGTTATTACAACTCAACGATAGCCCGGTGCAAAATAGAAACTCCGCGAACAGCAGCCTGATTTCGACGCGACAGATGTCCAATGAAGGGATGGGGGGGGGGGAATGGGGATCTCTGCTCCCACCCAGGTGGGAACCACGTGCGGGGAACATGAAGGTTTATATGGGGAGGGGAAACGGGTAAGGGGAGAAGATAACTAACATACCGAGGGAAAAGAAAGGGACAGGGGGAGGGAGACGACTGTTTGTTTTTAATCGCGCTTGTTGAGCGCAGAGCACAGGCCCCGAGGCCCAATGTGCCGGGCGCCAAGCCGCGTAACGGCATGACTTGAGTTGCGGTCGATAAGAGCCGGACATGTTTCGTGAATCGAGCGAGGTTATTCTAAGAAGTTGGGGAAAGAGATGGCGGCAGGGAATGCCAAGTCGAGCGCCGCGTGGGGAGGTCCCCATCCAGCCGTTGTTTTACAAAGCGCTGTACACGGACACAAAAAGACAATGCTGTAGATCCCCCATGTAGCTTCTACAGATTGTTGTGGGATTTACGAGTGGGGGGGGGGGGGGAAGGTTCGTGTGGCCTATACCTAGCCCGGCCACCTTTGTCTTCCCAGTGCTGGTGTTTACACACCACACCAGGTGGCCGTTTAATGCTGAGTAAACCTAAAGAAGGCCTACAATGAGTTCGGTCGACACTGATGTTAGCACTGGATGAGACGAAAACTCGGTTTGCCGGGCTCATTGTGCAGTGTGCCAACCACCACGCCACCACGTCACCACCTTTTATCAAAATGTCACCGATTCGACCTCCCCCGCTTCTGTCCACCCAGCAATGTAAATGGGTTCACCACAGTCTACCAGAAGGTCGCAAGTGGGGGGGTTAAAGGGTGAGTACTCCCCTTCTATTCGGAGACATCTCGCCAGCGTGGAATAGGAGGCCACAAATACCGTTCTTCCAGCAATGGCATAAGCAAGCCATTCCTGGGCTGCACCTTTCTACTTATTCTCATGAATATTGTTAGGAGAGAACCCGTTGATCTGCAACGAAAAATGACATACAACTGTCATTTTCATACCCTTCTGCACAATTCTGTACTCAGAGCACTAAAATTACTGTAATCTGCTTTTTATGTTGTAATAAAACGTCAAGATAATATGTATGGTGAGGATTACATTTTAATTCTCGAGGGTTTAAAGTATATTCTGGCGAAGTTATTACATTGATAGGATCATAAATTTTAAAGTACAAGCAATTTTAAATTAACCGAGTCAGTCTTCTATATTCATGACTCACCTATTCATTGTCGTGACCTATTCGGTATCTTCCAAACTTCTTCCATCGTTTCAATCCAATCCAAAGTTTATTTGCCACACGGAAAATTCCGTGTAAGTCAGCCACCCAGCTAGCTTCGAAGGCAACGGCCTGCAGCCACTAATAATATAATTATTATTGTTGGGGTGGAGAGGAGACAAGCCAGCAGCCAGCCAGGAAACTCGAAGCATCGATTATTTTTAACAGTACCGTAGTATGATCGCTAACAAGAATGTGGCTTGTCGGGTGGCTCCGCAGACCGGCAGGACCTGGAGGACCCACACAAGGTGGAGCGGCTGCAGGAGCCGCTGGTGGAGACGCTGAAGTTGTATGTGAGGCGACGCCGGCCCACCAAGCCGCACATGTTCCCCAAGATGCTCATGAAGATCACCGACCTCCGTGGCATCAGCGCCAAAGGTTCGCGGCCACCAGGGGCACTCCAAGTGCCACTCTGCCTGCTCTTGTGTGGTTTCACAGGCAGGAGTCTTTGGGGCTTGTGGCTGTGCCCGTGTAAATGAGTGTATGTTGGTTCCCCCCCCCCTACCCCGAGCGATTGCTCCCCCAAGTACAAGTATGATTTGTTATACCTGTGTATATTTGTATTGCAACCCTGGGGAAATATTGGCCGAATCCCCCAGGGGGATGTGACCATTGTGTAATTATTAGCGCAGTCCAGAGGTCACCGGTTCCATCTCCCAGTGTGGCAGTTGAAACAATGCTGCAAGTTTCTTAAAGCCTCTCCCTGTCTTTGTCCAGCCAGTTAGTCGATCGACAGGTTGTGTATAGTGGGGTTAAGTGTGGGTTCTCCCACTTAAAACTAAACTATTTGTATTTTACCAGGTAAGGCCCACTGAGCTATATAGCTCTTTTTCAGTAGTGACCTGCCACAAATGATAGCCCAATGAAGTGGCTTATTGTGTGGAAATATATAGCAGTCAAATACCGGCCACCATGGAAGAGTAGGCCTCTAATGGAGGCCCTTCCGCCAGCAGTGACCTGAGCAAGAAATCGCAGCGCTGCATTTTACCCTTTCACCTATTATTACGCAGCACAAATGATAGAAAACGTGAGCACCCACCTCACCACTGCTGACACCTTTCGCAGGTTCGGAACGCGTGATCACGCTGAAGATGGAGATCCCAGGCTCCATGCCGCCGCTCATCCAAGAGATGCTCGAGAACATGGACAACGCGGAGGAGCTGTCGCCGGCGCCCGCGCCGGTGGTCTGCAAGGGCAGCGGCGCGGCCGACCTGTCGGACACGCGCGTCACGACCGCAAGCGAGGATACCGGTGACGGCGATGCCGAGGACGTGAAGCCCGGCAAGAGGGCCCTGGACGGTCTGGAGTCTCCGCCTTGCTTGGCTGTGCCCGTGGGACAGACGTCGCTTGCGCCACCGTTTTGATGAAGGACGGGGGGGTGGGGGGTAGCCCCCCGACCTCGTCTGGCCGCTGTGACTCTGCGGCTGGAACGTTCAGATTTCTTGAAACGGCAAATCTTGAATAAAATAACGTGGGTTTCACCGGATGGTTCCGGAGGACGAGCACGATTGCTCGACGGCGGACATTATCGGCATGTTCTGTTTGTCTCGAAATGGGCTGGTGCAAAGAAAAAAAAAGTAGAGAAAGGTTGAGTTATTCACGAATAAAAATTGGCCAAATAACGTACAGGGTTGAAAAAGTTGTAAATTGCACAGGAATGCTCGGAAGAGGCTGACCATCAGCCAGGCTGTTACAATCGTATGAAAGTAAATACAGGGTTTTCACTTGGCGAGAAGGAAAGGTTGATTTGTTTTTAAGTAGGAACGTACTGAGGCGAATTTCACCCTTGGTGCAAAAGGGATTTTAATGATGTGGAAAGTTTTAGCTTAGTGGTCTCTCAAGCAAGACCTTGGACATTAATTGAGGACCGGCGACTGGAGACGGTGCACTTACGGAGAAAATTGTGGAGAAATGTGCTTGAAGAGAATGACTGGATAGTGAAGCTGAACTGAACCAGCTCGGCACACACGCCATGAGCTCCTTAATTCCATGAGTGTCCGCTACAAGGACATCGTTTGGAACAGCAGACTGCATGAAAATGTTTGTCAGGAAACATTGACGGTTGTCTTTTTTATTTTTTTCTCAATTTCTCTTTTTTTGTTCTAATTAAATGGAATGTACGCAACTGTATTTGTGTCCATTTATGAATTTGTATGATATTTATGTAATATTTTAAAATGGTTTTCATTGCAGCCTTCAAGCATTCAGTTTGCAGTATAAAAAATCCAATCGGTCAAACTTACCAGACAAGATTATTCGACCAACAGTTTTAGGTTTTCGTGACCTAATCACTTCACACGTGGGTTTACGAGAAAGTCATTGGTTGAGAAAGTAAATTTTTACTGGCAGTATATTTTTGTTATATCAAACAAAATCATATTAAGCTACAACGCAATCTGCATTAAATTCCTGTACAGATTAAGACGCTTATATTGAACCTTTTTAATTTTCTCATCATAATGCATTATTCGCCTGGAATACAGTGTCTGCAGATGTCTTTTGGAGATGCTGCAATCAGGTATAAAGCAGATATTTTTATTTTTGTAACTGCTAAAATATCCGTTGCTGATGTATCGCTGGCTTGAAATCACACCCCCCCAGTGTGTACAGCGTGTCCATGTTAGGGCGCCGCCACCACCACGGGGTCTCTGCGCTCACGGGAAGGCGTCGCTCGTTCTTTATCTGCCACCAAGTCGGAGCCGAGTGGAGCTCGGTCGTATCCAGGGCTTAATGTTGCACTGAATATTGCCTGGGTCACCGGTAATACTCGATTAAGTGGCACGTGACTCGAAATCACAGATTTTTGTGAGTGGCATACTGGATGTGGTGTGCTAGATGCGGAAATATTTTCCGGGTCACGGAAAATACAGAAGTAGGTGGCGCGTGACTAATGGCCACAGCCATAGTGAGAGGTATTGTGGATGTGGTCTACCGGGCCTGGAAATATTTCCCCAGGTTGCTGGTAAGACTGAAGTAGGTGGCAAATGATGAGTAGCCAACAGCCATATTGAACGGTATACTGGATGTGGCATGCCGGGTGCGGGAAGCATTTTCTGGGTCACCGATCCCAGCTGGATTTGAGCCCCGGTTGCATCGCGCGCACGCCCTTCATGTGGTGCCAGCGTGCCGCTACTGTTGGAGCTTCACGGCGTCCGTCGCGCACACGCGGATTTCCTTCGGCCGGAGCTTCCACGACCCCGCCTGCTTTTGTACACTTTGCTAACTGTTTGTACTGCGTCTCCTCGAGTCGGCAAAGGCGGACCAATTTGAACAGAATAAATTTGACTGTGCGTACAGCTTTGTGGTGTGGTGTTCAGTTTTTTTTAGTGAGGGAACATTTCGTAAATGACACAAGTTGAAAGGTGGCTGGGTGGCATGTTGCAGATCTGTATTTCGAATCCAGGCAACTGCCTGTAATTTAAACTTTTTTCAATGGTTTCATTTTTTTCAAGTGAAGAGAGTTGATAGTCCAAGCCCTGCTCGTCAATGACTTGAGGGGGAAAAACATCACATTAAATGTGGTTCTGTGCTTAAATCATAATGAATTCGTGCTCTGAGAATGAATATCAGCTTTACTCAAATGGAATGAGCAGGTAGGTAGGAAAATGCTGCCTATTGCATGACACCACGAGCACAATCGGCATACAATTCGGGGGTCGGGGAGAAGAACATGCAATGCAACGGGTATTGGCCAAACCTTCCTCATGCTGAAACATCACCTGCACATTACCCGGTTTGGGTTACACACAGCATCACAATGGGAACCAACCAATCCAAACTCGTATTACAGCGTGATAAACAAGTGTGGACAAGCTGCACAGGATTGTTGGTGACAAACAAAAATGCCATCTTGCTTTTTGACCAAAAAATATATAACGTACATATTTTGTGAAAGTAAAACTAAATCTGCAGTGGGGAGAGTGGAAATCTGCAGTGGGGAGAGTGGAAATCTGCAGTGGGAGAGTGGAAATCTGCAGTGGGGAGAGTGGGAATCTGCAGTGGGGGGAGTGGAAATCTGCAGTGGGGGGAGTGGGAATCTGCAGTGGGGGGAGTGGAAATCTCTAGTGGGGAGAGTGGAAATCTGCAGTGGGGAGAGTGGAAATCTACAGTGGGGGGAGTGGAAATCTGCAGTGGGGGGAGTGGTAATCTGCAGTGGGGGGAGTGGAAATCTGCAGTGGGGGGAGTGGAAATCTGCAGTGGGGAGAGTGGGAATCTGCAGTGGGGGGAGTGGAAATCTACAGTGGGGGGAGTGGGAATCTGCAGTGGGGGGAGTGGAAATCTGCAGTGGGGGGAGTGGAAATCTCTAGTGGGGAGAGTGGAAATCTGCAGTGGGGAGAGTGGAAATCTGCAGTGGGGGGAGTGGAAATCTACAGTGGGGGGAGTGGAAATCTGCAGTGGGGGGAGTGGGAATCTGCAGTGGGGGGAGTGGAAATCTGCAGTGGGGAGAGTGGGAATCTGCAGTGGGGGGAGTGGAAATCTACAGTGGGGGGAGTGGGAATCTGCAGTGGGGGGAGTGGAAATCTGCAGTGGGGGGAGTGGAAATCTGCAGTGGGGGGAGTGGAAATCTACAGTGGGGAGAGTGGGAATCTGCAGTGGGGAGAGTGGGTGGTAAACTGCTGCCCTCTGCTGTGTAACCAGAGGTCGCTTCAGAATCATATACTTTACACTTGAAGGGGTTCTCTGAGATTCGCCTTCTGTGGGCCATTTTCTCTTGAGATTTGAGCTGATGTGATCAAGTCTTCATTCAATGCATTTGTTTAACATTTCTATTAGACGATCTAAACACGATGCACGCAACACGGAAAGTGAACGCCACGTGAACGATCCAGCGTCCCTCCCCAGAGCATCACAGCTCTCCGACTGTCTCCAGCACCCTCTTAAGTGAATGCCAAGGCTGGCATTTTAAATTGAGGGCAGGGTAGGAACTGGCAGTGGACAGATTTTTTTTAATAAGCTCTGGTTTACATCGTGGCCATCCATAAATGACGTCACGCACTTAGGGAGGGGGGGGCGGCGAGAAATGTGACGTTACATCAAAATGCGCAACTTTAAATAAATATAGACAACACGTTCTACTTAATTAAATATACTTTTTAATAAATGTTTTCTCCTACATCAGTACAGCGCCACATTAAATACGCACTACAATGACAATAGTTTAAAGCGATTTGAAGCATGTTTTATTGGGGGGGGGGGCAGGGGGCAGAGCTTTGTGACGTCATATTTGAGGGGGGGTCTGACTTTTTGTGACACTGTGTGACGAGGGGGAGGTCAAAAATCGTCCAAAATCGCGTGACGTCATTTATGGACGGCCCCATACCTGTCAACCCCTTATCAGTGCTTACCTTATTACAGACCAATTCAGACATCATTGGTCACCCCGTGCCCTTATACATCTCAACGTTCATCCTACAAAGTCCAATCGCAAGCGAGAAACAAACATTACCAAAAAAACGTATGTCCGTACTGAAACGGCTGTACGCCGTATGGACCTGAAAACGCTATTTTTCTGTACGAGAATACGGGTAAACCGTGTGGGTTGACAGTTATATGATAGGGACTTATTTTTTTAATCCACTTTAGTTGTTCGTGTGGCCACGTGAGAATGGGCGGCCATCTTGGGTGGGTCTGCGACAAGAGGCCATCTTACGTGGGGGGGTTTCTCCTCCTGGGTTCCGATTGGCTCAGAAGGCGGACACGTGAAAGCGAACGGCCAATGAGAGGGCACGGGAAGTACACGACGTTGAGGCTGCTAATGTCGTGCCTTGAGAGCAGAGGCGACGTTCCGGGGGCGGCGGCGGCGGCAGTAGCCGCAGCAGCAGGGGGCAGAGCGTGAGGTTTGGGACTTCCGGGGTAGCAAATCGGCACCACGCACGCGCTCATATGGGCGTCGTGGCAGTTTCCGGTGCATTCCGCCTCATCGTCAGAAACCCACAGGCTCGGATCCAGTTTGGGTGCTTGATTCGGCTCCCTGTTCGTAATCGCTGTGAGTCGGGGGTCATGTTGGTCATGTTGGTTTATTAATGCTCCAACTGTTAAACTCGAATTCGCCACCAAACCAGCTGGATCTGTGTTCCTGAAGCTACGTTAAAAGTTTGACTGCTCACGCACTCTCGGCTCTGTTTTTGTGTTTTTTTTCTCTCTTCCTTATTTTGAATGGCCTAAAAATTGTGCCGTTATGCTACAGAATTGAGCCCAGGTGGTTGATAGGGCGGATGGATGCATTCGTGGTGCAATGGTCGTTGTTTGTTGTTGAAAGTGAACCATTTAACGCGAATGGGTGTGAAATGGCAATGCCTTCCTCCGCTTCCCGATAATGTGAAATGCGACACCCACCATTTGCTGAATCAGCCTGGTGTGATCGTTATCTATGCGGTGTTGTCAAATGCTTTGCTGGTTTGAGTGTTGGAGGTTGAGTTCTAGCCACTGTCTCAGCAGGACCCGGGACCCTTCGTGTATTTGTATTTAACAAGTGAATGCGGTGGCATCGCCGACTTATTAACATATGCTGTTTCTTTAGCCTCAAGCTACTATCCCCATCAATAACTGTTGATGCCAAAACGATAGTCAACCCTCCTTCCTCTCCCTCGCAAGGGATGTGTTCAATCCTGATGGATTCCTGACAGGTTAAATGACATCGCAAGTGTATTCAAAGAGCTTCCTCTTTGGGTTGTGTGGGCGAGTTAACAGCAATTACCATGCGCCACAAATTACCCGGCATTATACTGGCGTACTTTAAAGCCCTCTTACGTAAATTCATTATTTTCACGTCCATCTCGGTTCTTTAGAGACGTCTATAAGGATGCAGTACAGCAAGTTGGCTTTTGGGCAGCACAGGGGGAGTGCATGAAAATCTGTTGTGCGATGCTGCTGTATCCTGCACGTAGTATTCGTATGTAACGCAGTTACATCCGATCTCTAACTGGAGCCCAGAAGCTAAGCAAATTGTGAGCCTGGTTCATACTTCGCAAGAGAGGCTGCCTGGGAATTCCAGGTGCTGTAGGTTTGGTCTGCGAGGCAGACAAGAGCAGCTATAGATTGCAGAATTTATGTGAGGATTTTTGTAAACCCACTTTTTGTGAGTGTTTTTTCCTCCCCATCCGGTTCTCTTTCCTTAAACCTAGACTGAGAAACATGTCCAGATGTAGTCTGTGTGGATGGGGGGGGGGACGGTGGAAACTCGAGCAAGAATTTATCTCAATCACAAATTGTCCGTAGAATATTCAGTGAGAAATGAAGCCTTGCTTGCAATGCCCGGCCCGATCGTTTCTGCTCTCCCCAGTCCTCGGGTCCGCGTCGTCGGCGTACGCATCCATGGCCAGCAGAGAAGTCCATCCGCCTCCTGGAATACCGTGCGGCGACCCAGGAGATCCGTACAAGCCGGGCGAGGGCCCCGCGCCAACTCCGCTGCTGCTGACGGGGCCCTCCCTGGCCGCGGCGCGGGACTGCCGGCTGCTCGTGGTGCTGCGCGGCCTGCCGGGCAGCGGCAAGTCGACCCTCTGCGCCCGGATAGCCGCGGCGTTGGACGCGGGGGACGGCGGCGCGGCCTCGGTGGCCGTGGTATCGGCCGACGAGACGGCGCTGACGGCTGCTCAGGCCGCGCGCCACCACGACGACGGCGACGACGATGGCGACGCGACAGAGGAGACGGATGAGGACGAGGCGAAGGATCCGCAGAAGAGGTGAGGAGGTGTGTGGGTGGTAGCACTCAGGCATGAAGCATTGGAACTTGATTCTCATGTTCACGGTATCGTGTCGTGAACCCACCCCCCCCTCCCCCCCCCCCAGGTAAGAGATCTTACTATGCATGTGTGTTTAAATGTTATCCATGCTGGCACAAGAAGTGCTACATTCACACATTTTAGAAGGGACTTTATTCGTATTCAAAGACGGCGCGGATGACGAATGTGGGCGGGTTATTGTTGTTTAATTCATTCATACTTGCACTCGCCATCAATGCCCACGTGCAGACTGCGTCAAAAGATTCGAAAGAAGTGCGCGGCGGGCGTGGACGCGGTGATTGTGGACGGCACGAACCACGTGGCTATGAGCGTGCTGCGGGTGGGCGCTACCGCCCGCTCCTTCGGCTACCTGACCCTCATCGTGTGTCCCACCACACCGTGGAGGGACGACTGCTGCACCCTGGCCAGCAAGACGCATTGGGGCTGGGGAGTGCAGGCCATCGAGGCCCTGCGGCCCAGTTTGCAGGTGAGCAAAGAGGCCTTCTCGGCCTCGTGTGCGTCGGGGCAAGGGAGGGTGGTACAAGTGATGTTAATCGCTCTCGCCGAGATGCTTCCGCATTGTCACGCACTTAATGCACTCAGCCGCACGCACGCGCAATACAATTGTAAACAACCCCACCCATCTCTGCCGTTGTCGCTCTCGTGGAGACAGGAAGCGCTGGTGCCACTTTATTTCGGTTGGTTCCTCACCAAGGGCAGTGTGCAGACCATGTGCAAAATTTCGGACACCTTTCTGCTGAAGATCGCAGCCATTTCAGAGTTTGCGTCCGAATTCCAGCCGTTCATGAAGTGGCAGAATGAGCAAGGTTTGAGACGCACCAACGCAGTTATGGTTTTTCAGTTCTAGCGAATTGCATGTTATAATTATAGCTTTGCATCGCCGCCACTTTCCTGTGTTCGTCTTCAAACTATGTTAACCTTGTTACACTTACTCTATGGTTCTTTTGGTCACGTCACATAAAAACGTAAGTAAATAAAAAAAAATGTATTCTATTATTTATTTTCTTTTCTTTCTACATGACTTTACCGAAAGAACCATAGAGTAATTGCTGCAGTCACGAAAGCTTAAAATCTACTTTTTACACTTGTTTTAAATACAATTTCTTATGACTGCATCTCGCCCGTTTTCCCAAAAACGTGCAGTTTAGGGGCCGTCCATAAATGACGTCATGCGATTTTGGCCATTTTGACCCCCCCTCGTCATACGGCGTCACAAAAAGTCAGACCCCCTCAAATATGACGTCACAAAGCTATGCCCCCCCCCCCCAAAAATGCTTGAAATCACTTTAAAACTAAAACTATTGTCATTGTAGTGCGTATTTAATGTGGTGCTGCACTCTGACGTTGTAGGAGAATACATCTATTAAAAAGGCGTTGGAAAGCTGAAATTTAGCATAAAATTAACTTGAAAATATTCAACGTCTAACTAAAACTGCAGATGTTCCGAATATTATAGTGAAATGCTCTTATAATTCTAAAACATTAAAAGTAATAACTATAAATACTTTAAACTTTGTAGTAGAACGAAGCAAAATGGAGAGTACAATTATAACAATCACATTCATTTTACAGAAAAACCCTGGTAGAATCGAAATGTTTAATACATCATTCAAAAAATATACAATTTATGCTTCTCCATTCTCCCATGGAAAAGCAAAATGCTCCTTCATGGAATAAATAAAAGGTGATCTTAGTAAATTTTAATCAAATAGTTAATGAAAATTAATCAAAATGATTGTTCAATTATATTTCATTAATATTTAAAGTTGCGTATTTCGATGTGACGTCACATTTCTCAAACCCCCCCCTCGTCACACACACGTCTCAGCCCCCCTCGGTTCGTGACGTCATTTATGGGCGGCCCCTTAACGTAATTTAAGTATTAAACCAGATTACGTGGCAAGTGTGCGGTGGAGGTTACAACACCTCAATGGGTTTATATTGTCTTGTGCATAACATGGGGTAATTCACAAAGCACATGGGTTGGCAATTCCTTGAAAATGTTACATCTTTAGCATGAAATGCAATGCCATTTACCCAGGGAAGCTTCACCTATTGCTACATCTTCTGCAATGGGATGTGGCCAATTACATGTATGACTCCAGAGGAATTTACAAAGCTCTGCACATATTCCACAATACATTGCGGTACAGTAGTGCTACAATCTTCCGGGCACTCAAAATACAAGCCCTTTTTGTTCACACTGCATGAATAGCACGTTACAATATATTCACTGGTCAACGTGGGAAACATTACACATTGCAGACCAAAAAATGGACCTTGGCGCTTACTTCCGTCGATCCATGTTTGTCGGAGGCCCCAACGTGCTTCACTGCACGGCCATGTTCTGTGCCAACGGCGAGGTGCCAGGGTCCGAGGAATATGCCACATCACAGGTGAGAGCATCACTTCAATCAGGGGCAACGTCATTCAGCTCATCCAAATGAGTGCGATGGTCCAATTCTTATAAGTAATGGGTAGCACCTACCTGGCTTGAAGTAGATGGACCAATTTATGGACAATTGGATTATTTGGGTCTTTGGTAAAGTCACGTAGATAGGTTCAAAGAAAATAAATCGCAACACAAGCTCTCGTCATCGAGGAAATAAATTATGGATTGTACCTCAATCCCTTACCATTAATGTTCAACCAGCTAATGTGCAACCATGCTGTTGCAGGACAGCACAATTCAAATAGGTAAATGACATTCATCCAGGAGAGCCTGTCATTTTCACCCTGCCAAGTTTTTGCATTAGGGGGTAATATCCCTACAAGTTGCAGGTTATTTTGCAGTATTTTTTTAGTTGAGGGAAGCTATGCAGAACAGGGAGAACATGGAAATCAGGCCCATCTTTCAACCATATATTAGATTTAAATCAGTGGATTCAACATGCATTTGAAAATACTAAAACCAAAGTATGAAGCTAGCATGTTTTGGAACACTCACCAAAATACTGTCCTTTATTGCAGGCTGTTCAAGAATCCTGTGGTCACGCCTTTGTGCTACAAGTGACTGCCTTGCTCGTGACACCACGGACCGTTGGGGCACGTGTGCAACTGAGTGCTGCGCAGATGGCACTGTGGGATCCTAACGACTGCAGCAGCCACTTGGACAACCACATCGACACCACCATGCCCACCCAACCTCCAACTGACTGCACAGTTCCTAATCTGCCCCGGGGCAGCAGGGCACACATCTCACTGGGATGTGCCCCAGGTGTGGAGCCTGTGCAGACTGGTGTGGACCTGCTGGACATACTTAAGTGCAGCACCAACCCAGAAAAGAGAATAAAGCTGTCAGTCGGAGAGCTGTGCTGCTATGGGGCTGGACGCTGGATCGTCAATTTGAACAAGGGACACCTGGTTACCACACTCTTCACAGGTGCCTATGCACAGGCCACAAGGCCAGTGTGCTTTGGTACAAAAACTTGCCCTTGACATGTTGCATATTGATCCTTGATATTGAGTTGTGAATGTTTGGGTTAATAAACACGCAACACCATTTTGACGGTTTAAATTTATTTCAAAATAAATACAAGACTTGAAACCCCAAAAACGTAGATTCTGAATGCTTTGAAACCTTAATGCTTGGAGAAGTTCAGCAGCTTCATCATGGAAAGCTGCCTTAAACGTTAGTAAACACTACACAATACACCCTAAACTGAAAACACTTGTCCCTGCTATAGAAAACCTAAAATCCAACAGCAATGAGCTGTCCAACAATGAAAGTCACCTAACCAACATTCCAAACTGTTTATAAGCATCCTCAGTAAGGATCTATTGCCAATTAACTTTTATATCAAAAGGTTCATTTCTGGCAGCCATTTTTGTGACCATCTTTGATTTTGCCATGGGCCTCAATTTCATTCATTTAAAACCATTATTTTACATTTGACCTGTATTGGGGGGAAAGTGCATTGCCAAGTCTGAATGACACCTATGGCAGCCAATAGATGACCACCTGAATTACCTCAAACTCGCAGACAGCGCTCACATCAACCATTCCATGTATGGCTACATGGCATCTGTAAACATGAAGGCCAAAACGTGCAAAACAGCTTTATACATCAGTAAAATTTGCCAATTGGTAGGCAAATTGATCTAAAAATAATTCCTATATTGTACAAAATGTTCATAAACGCAAATGTAACTCACTTGGCAAAATGGCCACCAAAATTTACAATCTTGAAGTTAGAAATCCTGATAGGAAAAAAGTTCAAACATCTTTCCTTTAACACTGTAAAGTCATGACCCAGTTTTCCCACACCATTGGTCAGTTTGGCAAGTTTCAGACTATTAGCTATCTTAGCTGCCAAGGGTTGAAACAGTTTGCACCAAAACTGGCTTGTGATTTCTTAACTCCAGCAGAGCTGGCATTTATAATCAAAACCTTAAGCCACAACCATTTTAAATCGAGCACTGGTTAGCTGTTTCTTCACATATGCAATGTTATACCAATAACAAATTTACCAAGTGGTATAAACCTTGTATAGAACGGCAAATTTAACTCAAGTACTATAATAAAATTTCTCAGAACGTTGCACTATGGTCCATTTTGACCAATTCAGACATCCTTACATCTAAAACAAAAAAAACCTCTAAGACTTCATTGATCTTGCATTCTTACACCTCTGCAGAAATCATACATCCATTTCAAGCTAGCTTCTTCACTCCATGCCTTCATATCCATCAATGTAAGTCTACACCTATTTCCAAGAGCTCCCCTCACCTATGTTCAGGTTGTTTTCAAACTGCCGGTCCTTAGTTTAATACAGAAATCAGCATACCTCGTCTCAATTGCACAAAATGGAAAACCAGATAGCTTGTTAGGCAGAGCTGATATAACTAAAGATGCGTTTACCTTCCTCTCCACACAAGCTGTCACTGCCTGCCTCAATGGCCTACTGTACACCAGGTTCTAAAGTGAAATTCTTGCACAACCTAACCAAGCTTCTGCACCATACAAAGCCTACCACACCTTACAGCCTCGCCAAACCTGTTTGACCTCAAAGGAATTAAGGAGAAACTGCAGGCCAGGCACCACAAAAACAAGCTCGACTTTTTAATACTACATACCATACCTTTCACCGCCACTCCCAGGTCAGTCAATACTTACCTGCATGTCAAACCCAGTCGCCACCCTCCACACCTGCAAAGATATTACATTTGTAAAAAAACTAAAAAACACACTTTTCATTAATGTCTATCAAATGTTCCAGGTGCATGTAAAAACCAACGTGTAAACTTTACTCAATTAACTACCCTACCCCGTAAGGCTTTAAAAAACGCACTTAAGTGAAAATCTTGCCGCAATAAACTGGGAATCACCCGTCTTAACAAATATAAAACATCAAAAGCTAATATACTAGAATATTGTAAATTGTAGGATTGCACAATACCGAGTAAATGGTCTTACCTACATACCGCTTGGTATCTGTCCTACAGGGTGCGTCAGGCTCCTACATCCAGATAGTTTGGTCCACACCGCTACCTGAGCTGGCCCCATGTTGCTAGCAGCTATCAGCTGGTAGCTAGCCAAGGTAGCGGTAAAGGGTCTTCTCAGCAAGCCTCTCCTTTACACGTTCTCCTAGCTGGTGCTTTCTCCTTTGTAACTCCTTGGTTGTTGGCATGTTCATATAGAAAAAAAATCACCTTTAATGCAAAAACACTGAAAAGTAATCTGCACTGGTAGTGTAGGCGTTTTTCGATGCTTGGGAAGCTGAAGCTGATGGCTTGGTAAGTCTTGGCTGAAGCTGAGGGCTTGGGCAAAGCTGCTGCTTTTAAGTTGATCGATGCTCTTATCCACCTTCGCTGCATGGGGGGGCTGCTTGAAAGGCTTCTACAGATTGTGGCCATGTGGTAAGATTGCAGATGTACAGTGGCTTCGACTCACTTCAGCAAGTGATAAAGCATATTAAAAAGCCTCGCACCACTTAAAATGTCATGATTGGCATGGTAACCATTTTGCCATTAAAGCAAGGCTGCTGTATTGTAGCCATAACCATTGAAGACGTTAGACAATGTATTTAAAAACAATGTACACCATGTGTAGGCCCAACAGACTTTATGTAATGTTTACAAAATAATTTCATAACTTAGTCCAAGATAACAAAGTTTTGCAAATACGTTTAAATTTGGATGCACTTTTCGATGTATACAGTTCACCAGGACACAAACTTTCATATTTTCCAAATAAATTCAGAAACCTAAAACACTTCAAAGCAAAAAAAATTTAATGACCGCTGCACAAAGTGCAAATTTCTAAATCGTGATTACTGCCAGACTAAATTAAATAAGCACAGTCAATGTACAGTATTAAAAAGGTACAAAATGCTTAAAAATAGAAATAATACACAAAGTTTGACCACAATTCATAAATGTGGAATGCTCAAAAAAAGTACAGTTTTCCTTTAATCAAACAGCTTCTACAATGCACGTCACATCTACATAGCCATAAAATCACAAAGGCACAGATACTCAGGTCACATACAGGTTCACTCAATGTACAGGTGCTAAGGGGACAGGCTACAGGGCTTGCGCCCGCCTGCACTCAGCAGTCTCTGGGGCACTGTGCTGATTCTGCTGAGCCCACATATCTGAGGCTGTCCTGTCAACCTCGGCTCTTCCTGGCTAAAACACTGGCCTGTTGGATGTGGGAATAGAACAGTAGACATACGTACAGCTGTCAAAAACACTATGAAGAATAACAAGTGAATAACATTATACCAGGCTATGTATTGCTTGCAGAGCTGTGCACTAAATATTGCGTCAAAAGGAAACTTATGTAAACAGTTTGAATTGCACTAAAACTTTATAACTTAAGCAAAATGATTCAAGTTGTGCCTGCAGCACGTGAAATTAATCTAAAGATCTTAAAAAACTCTGTAGCAAGCCAATACATTAAATACCTTATTGTAAAAGCCATAATGTAAAATATGTTTTAATGTTATCAAATAATCAATTGTGAGAATTGTCAATTGTGTGCGAATAGCATTATAAAGCCACCCTCACCTTTGGATTTCCTTCATGGCCATGATCACTTAGTATCGGCCCCGTCCTCCTCCACCACCGCCGCCACCACCACCATAACCGCCGCCACCGCTTCCACTGCTGCCACCACCTGAACCGTATCCACCTTCACGGGAGTCGGTAAATCAATTACCGTCACAAACCCGAATAGTCGTGCCAATTTTGAGGGCAAGGGTACAAATTTAAGTGTACCAAGCATAAAAAGATGAGTGGATTGCAATACTTTCATGAAACAGCAAAGCCATACAGCTTACCACCATACGGTCCACTTGAGTTCCTTCCTCCATAGCTGCCGCCGCCACCACCCGACTTCATGGGACCATAGCTCGATTGCTGCTGATTGTAATTGCCAAAGTCCCCACCTCCACCACCATAACCCCCCCCACTGCTACCACCGTAATTACCTGCTAAAGTAAAACAAACAAGCCCAAATTAGAATGTGTTTAACAAAGTGAAGGCACTGCATAAATCAAACGAATGAAAGGTGTATCAGAACCCAACATTTTTAAGGAATAACACATGACCCAACTTGCTCTATGAGCAGAACTTACCACCACCGTAGCTAGAGCCACCTCCATAGTTGTCGTACCCTCCTCCGCCACCTCCGTATCCACCTCCCTGATTCCCATAGCCTCCATAGGAGCCTCCACGGTCACTGTACCCTCCTCCTCCACCACCACCATACCCACCTGCATATTCAAATATTAGGCATGTAAATTGCATTTTTTTTTCACTTCAAATCAAGCAAGAATTATTTGCATTGCATGGGTGCAATAGGTTATTGTAAACCCTGCAACCCCGAAGTGCTACATTCTCAAGTTGTCTATCAGTTGAACAGTCAAAGCTATAAGGAACAGCCACGATCGAAGAAACATGGTAGAAACGTTACATGCCTATTAAATAGTCAAAAACCTGTGTAAACAGCATACAAAAAAAATCTCGACTTAAAGCTTTCCTGACTGCAGGAGGATGACGATCACTTGTGTTGTGATCGAAACGTAGTTTGTTATTTTCCTTCAACCCATCTACGTGACTTTATCGAAGGACCTAAAGAATACAATACAAAAACATGGTAGATTCACTACCTCAACTTAACATGATGCAAACACTTGTGGATCACTTACCTCCACCACCACCATATCCATTGTAGCCGTCACCCCCGTATCCACCACCACCACCATAGCCACCTGAAACGAAAGTTGCTCAAGTTAAAAAACATTCATTTTCCAAAAATACCATTCGCCTAAATATGAAAATGCATTCTACAAAATACCTACCTCCATAACCACCGCCACCACCACCCCGGCTTCCATAGCTTCCTCTCCCTCCACGGCTTCCACCTGCAGATGGAAGGTGAACAGTTAATCTATTACCACACGAAGCGCTGTTCCAAATCGATGTTCCAATAATATAGAATGTTTGCGAGTCTTGCAAATGCCGTACCTCTGGGGCCTCCACTGGAGTTCATCTCTTGCTTGGAAAGTGCCTTCCGCACTTCTGCCTTGTGACCATTGATGGTGTGGTACTTTTGCACTGTGGGAGACGACAGAAAATTAAAGGATGGCTTCAACATGTAATTAATATTTAATGAACGTTAAAGACTTTACAAAACCAGTTTACATTACATACCAATCTTCAATCACACACATGGCTCCTTTCATAATGCACTCGCCGACGTGTAAAATGTTACCATAACGCGACAGTTGTGTACACCTGGAGCTTTGTGAAAACGCCAAGTTACAGAGCCACTCACCGATGACCTTGTCCACGGTGTCGTGATCAGAAAACGTAACGAAGCCAAATCCCCTCTTCTTGCCGGTAGAACGATCCTCCATCACCTCCGCTGCCTCCACATCACCATACACCTGGAAGTACTCGCGCAGGTGCTGCTCGTCCGTGTCGTCGCGAATTCCTCCCACAAAGATCTTCTTAACCTTGAGGTGTGCTCCCGGCTTTAGGGAGTCCTGTGCACAGCACAGAGGTGACTGGCAAACATCCGAATGGGCAGCCCCAACAAAGGCACCCCCCCCCCCCCCCAGCATGGCGAATCGCACTCGCGATTTACGTGCTACACAAAAGTAAAGACGCGCAGAATTCCACAAAAGATATTCCAGTGTGATACATATGATATGCCAAGGATATCTTACGATCACTTTACTTTCTTCTTAGCAGCCAATGGTGGTGGTATAGCATGGTGGGAGAAATGTTCAGAATCTGAAAATATTTATTCCGAAGAAATCCGATGAGCTATGAAGCGCCTTTTCACAGACGCCCATTTTTGCGAGTCACGATCATCCGGTACTCAAGCCACTCGTGGGACCACCAAGGTTTCAGGGACAAACCTCGCGAGAGATGGCGCGCTTGGCTTCCACCACGCGGTTGTCCAGGTGGTGGGGTCGTGCGTCCATGGCGGCGTCCACCTCCTCGGGACACGTGTAGGTGACGAACCCAAAGCCACGTGACCGCTTTGTGTGCGGATCCCTCATCACCTGTGCGCAGGTATAACGGGGGCACACGTGACACCGACTCGTTAAACAAACGTTCTCCGAATAGGGTGCGCGCACACTATTATTGTTATCATTGCGCGGCTTGGTGTAGTGCGCGTGCGAAACATCCTACGCACCACGCAGTCTGTTAGCGTGCCCCATTGTTCGAAATGCTTCCGCATGCTGTCCTCCGTGGTCTCGAAGCTGAGGCCACCGATAAACAGCTTACGCTGTTGTTCATCTCCGTTGTGCTGTGGAAGACAAGGGGCGTAAATCCGGTTACTATTTTACATACAAAATAACCCATGCAGCACGAACACGGCTATTGTTATTTTAGAGGCTCGTTAGGTTTATTATTTTTTACAAGCCGGACAATGGCGTCCGCTGTTTTGACTTCCTAAACGTCCCGTCTACTGCTCATTTCCTGCTCACGATTCTATTTTTTGCGCATGCGATGCGGGTAAAACTAAAAAAGCGCAACGCCAAAACGGTATATAAACACTAGTATTAAGTAAAACATTTGTAAGAAATAATGAATGAAATTTTTTACGTATAATTTTGAAAACGTACAAATCCAATCACAAGCGCCGACTCCAATCCTTTCATTGTAAAAAAAAAACATGCGCGGAGCCGATACGAATATATTCGCGAAAATGAGAGACTTTGAAAATATTTGCAAAAAAAATATCCGCGTGGCGTTAATTTCAGTACCAAGACGACAATTTTGTAGAGAGAAAACCGCGTCAAAGAGAACCCTTCCTCGCTCTCATCGCGGCGACACCCCAGGCTCCACTCCCGCCATTACGTGTGGGCCTCAACACGCGCGCCCTTTCTTTGCTTCCATCTTCACTTATTTATATGTAAAGCCGTTTCCCCAAAAAAACGCTAACCCCACTACACGTAACCCATTAGTCGACAATTTTAACGGACGTCCTTAGCTTAACAAAAATTGTAATTAAATATCGCTTCGTCACCCACCCTCCCTTCCCTCGTGGTCGACCCCCCCCCCCTCATTGTGCAGGCTCGGGCGCCATGTTGGACGCGCGGCCCCTACGCATCGGCTAAAAAAAACCACACAAAACAAAAACCCCCGACGCATTTTGCGGAAGAAACGCGCAACGTAAACGCGCGGTAGAGGAGAGGGGGGGGGGGAAATTCGCCGACCGTCGGAAACAAAACGAGGCGACCGCGAAACGAGCAAAAAGACGTGGCGACATCGTTGAACTCACATCCATTGGCATCACTGAAACGACGACCTTCGAATGAGAAATTCCACCTCCGAATGCGTGGAGCTAAAATGGACGCCGTCCTTATATATTCGCAGCGCGCGGTGCACGCCGGTTGCGTGCCCACTAATTTATTTATCTCCAACCCACAAACCCCCCCCCCCCCGGCACACACCCCCCCCCGCCCCACCCCTAAAAATTTTAAAACCTCCATTTTAAAATGATCGCGATCTTTTCAAAATTGTTCGCCTTAGTGACGCATGAACTAAAGGTAACAGCCGTTAAATATTTATAAATATTTGTGTGTTTTAAATTCCGATGGGGATGGGCGGGCGGGCAGGTGGTTTCCGCTTCATTACGTCACATCCGGCGGAAGCGGCGTTTCCCCCCCACCCACCCTTCCCCCTCCATCCCACCCCCTCCCCTCCCGACCCTCAGACTTTGCAGCGCCGATCCGTCTCCGCTGGGCGCGCGTGCACGGTAACGATACCCCCACCACGTTAGAACTCCTACGGCTAAAACAACAACAACAACAACGGTACCGGCGGCGCAACGGACACTCTCTCACGCTTAGCCGTCTAGCCTCGGGCCGCGCAAGCGTCAGCCACGACAAATTGTAATGCCAAGTTAGTGCCGCCGGCGCCTTCTTATCTCTGCTGCTGCAGCAGCAGCAGCGAGCGGTATTTTGCCGCTGCTTGTAACGGTGTCTGTCGGTGGTCAGCCCCGGGTGGGGTGGGGTGGGGGAGTTGAGGAGAGGGGGGTGGGAGACGGAATCGTCTGACAGAATCGGCAGCTGTTGGCAAGTTTTGGAGCCAGCTCCTGTCTCTTTTTCATATACACACACACAATCATCGGCATAAATGTAAAAATGATTTTTTTTTGGTGGGAAAAAAAGTAAATTTTGGAGAGGCGCTCGTATACCGCAATGCCCTGAGGACATTGGTGCAGATTCCGCCGTGACTTAACACGCTTCTCACCTTGAGCTAAATCTGCACTTGACCAGCGTGGTGAAGTATGGCTTAAATAATGCTCAACCCCCCCACGACCCGCACGGCGTGGGGAGGAACTCCAGCAGCGGATTGGCGAAAGGGGCTGGTTCGTGCACATGTGTGTTACTGTACGTATGTTGAACACATGGCACCATCATCTGTTGTTGACTTCACAAAGTGGTTGACAATAAGTGGCTCACGCGACCACGCAGCGATGAATGTTCAAGTGGATTCTATGCACGTGCCTATATTTTAACAGCTACAGCGTCGGCCACCGAATCACGAACTGCAGTGGTGCACCACTTGTGCAATAAGTGTGGAAAAGCTCTGTATTGCTTGTTATGCACGGTGCCACACTGTATTTTTAGTGCGTGCTGTAATTCATGGTTACAATGCAGTTTTCCCCGCACGTGTATGTGTCTGCGTTGCTGCATGAGCCGGCAACATGATGAGAGTTAAGATGGGAATTTCGCACGGTGACTTTTATTTTGCCTCGGAGTAAATCACCCGCAATGCTTTCCCATCTCGGAAGAAAAAGCATGAATGGACCGGGCTATCGCATGAATAGGTTCGGAGTTACACTTCTGGCAGCAGAGGGCAAGTGCGCCAACATTAATTGTACTGTACTAATGTACATGTACGCCACTTGTCAATCTACTGATGCATAAGGAAGGGCCCCTCCCCTGCGGGTCTTCTTGATTTATTTGGATGATACTTCGCCACGCTGGTTAGTGCGAGTTGCTAAAGTCAACGAGCATAGACCTATGAGCGCTGAAGTTGCCGGACTAAAAAATGATGTTGCGATCATATAAAACCAGGGCCTAATTTCTCACTCATTATGTCCCAGGTCCCTGGTTGACTCGGTGTAGGGACATGGTCAGTAGCCACAGGCGTAGCGTGAGGTTTGCCGATTGCAGTGCAGTGTCTTATCGTATGCGGGTGTATATTGTCCGGATAGTGCTGAAATTAATTTCTGCATATGCCGACTCCTACACAGCTATGTGCATATATATATACACACACACGCACGTTTTCACGCATGTGTACTCGCACTCACTCAAAGCCACAGGGAGGATGGGGAAGAAGCAGAACAAGAAGAAGCCTGTGGCGGAAGAGGAGAAACCCGAGGAGGAGTATGTGGTGGAGAAGGTGCTGGACAGACGCGTGATGAAAGGCAAGGTGGAATACCTCCTCAAGTGGAAGGGGTTCACAGAGTGAGTTCATCATCGGTGGGGAGCTGAACCCCAAAAGTCTCCATCTCCTCGCAAGGAAAATGTTTCTAAGTGTGTTTTGTTGTGTGCACTTCAAGATTAAGAACTCCCTGTAATGACTGTTAAGTTTCAGATGAAATGGAAGTTTCAAACGGCTATCATCGTCCGTGGTCAATTCGCTGCAGGATGATGGCTTTCCCAAGCTATCGCCATCTCTCACGGCTTACGATGTAACAGTCCACCCAGTATCTGCGCACGAGCTGATTTCATAGCTCTTCACAGTGGACATATTCTAAGGCGCACTGCCTCTATTGACTGCTACTCAATTGCCAGTCTTGACCACTTGCTATCATTCCTCGAGCAGCATATTCTATCCACGCAAATCTGTCTAACTTGTGCTTGTTGTCTTATCCATGTGTTCCTGTTTCTGTCGCAGTGTATTTCCAAGCATGCTTCATTGGGCGTTTTTGTCCAATTTTCTTGATAAATTTTCGTGATTCTGACCCATGTGTCATAGCAGGTAATATACACTGATTAAAAGCTTTCATATTTGGCACGTTGGTAAGTTGCTATTTATTATCAAGCCAGATTTCTATTTGTGCCGCAACTGTATGATATTTTTATGATCCTGTTATGTTTTGTTACGTATAGTGGACTGTCACCTGGTCATAAACCTTGTTGTAGATATTTTATTCTAAACATGACAAATATTGCTGTAATAAGCAACATTCTCCGAAATGTCCATGACTTTGTTGAGCGCTTGTTTCACAGTGAGGAGAATACGTGGGAGCCAGAAGACAACCTCGACTGTCCAGAGCTCATCAACCAGTTTCTGGAAAGGCAGCGGCAAGCGTGTGAGGTATCCGCTGAGGGAAACAACGGCAAGCGGAAAGCGGCCAGTAGAGAGGACGATGGAGATGTCCAGGCCAAGAAACACCAGGCAGATGTGAGTTTCTGCTTCCGAAGTTGCACCGTGTTTATAAAATGCAGGAACGTTGCCCCACGGTTAACATCGTCCGTGCTCATAAGTTTTCCCTGGAGCAAAATAAATAAATGGGACATGCAATAGCCATCAAGTATTAAAGAATATTGACACTCATTGTGTTTAGCTCAGGGTAGACCAGGTCATCTTGTGTATCATTATATGCTTCTCTATCTAGGATAACAAGACGAAGGGCTTTGTTCGAGGTCTGGAGCCAGAGAAAATTATTGGTGCCACAGACTCCAGTGGCGAGCTCATGTTCTTAATGAAATGGTAAGATTTGTCATCGGGCTGTACATTCTGCAATCGCCAAATGCCATCATTCTTCTCCACGATGGTCATCTTCATGAGTGTATTCGCTCGTTTGGCTGTGATTCGGCCACCAGTCGCACCTATCGGCCATCATCCCTTATTTCTATGTTTCCTGCCAAAGCCCACTTTTATTCACAGTAAGTCTGATAGAGCATGTTTTGAACTACATTGAAAGACTAAAGGAAACGTGGATTATACAAACAAAAATAAATATATTTTTTGTCGATCTCCATGTTTTCTGATCATGTCACAGCAGGTAAAATGTAAAGACTGACGACTTTTGCCTTTATGGACATGAATATGTTACTTTTCAGAAATTCAGTTTTCCTAAAGCACTCTTGCTCTCGCTTACCATTTTATGGTATAATTTTCATTCCAGTCCACCTATAACAATCCGTCTAGGTGTACACACATGGTTGTGTTTTGGAATTGTATTCCTGTACCATTTATTTCCTTCGTTAAAATCAACACTTCACCAAATTTCGATAAGTATTGTAATTAACCTCAAACCTGTTCGTAGTGGACTGCGACCATATAAAGAATGGCACCACCCCCATGATCGCCCCCGCGATACGTGGGTCAAACATCACTCGAACAACTGGCATGGCAGCGAAAGCAGATTAGGCGAATGCTGTCGCAGGAAGTCACGTTTGGCGCAACCCTCCTTCGCTGACGATGCTTGATGTATGTCTTCTTTCGACTGACTCCTTACAAGCGGACATTGCTTTTTTTGCTACACAGGAAGGGCTGCGAGGAGGCAGACCTCGTTCCAGCCAAAGAGGCCAATCTCAAATGCCCTCAGGTGGTAATTTCCTTCTATGAAGAGCGGCTCACCTGGAGCTCTGTTGGAAACACGGATGAAAAGCCCAAGGACGAATGATGGAATTGAACAGGCATCCAATGCCAGCCCATTATGTGTAAACATGCTGTAGGTTTGAGGAGAACGTGATGCCACGCATTTGTATGTATTATTTTATAGTTTTGTCTGTTATATGTACAGAATTAAACAGTTCTTGGCTTGAACTCTTGAGATTCCCCCAAAGGTTAGTACTGTTTTGTTTCGATGCACAGCGTTGCATTTGCTAAATGTATATTTTATGCTACTATTTGTTATCCTTGATCAAGGTTAGCAGTGTTCTATTTAACCCCACGCTAAATGCATCAAAACCTCACTGGTAGCTTTAGATACACAAAAGTACGTGTTTTAAAAAGATGTGTGCAATGTACATTATACTTTATAATTTTTGTGTGCAATGTACATTAATGCTTTTAGAAATTTGTATATGTTGACGTAACAGTGTCAAACATGCATTACAATTTGCAGTAAATGTATTAATGGTTGTCACTGGCTTATTACAGTCTAAATTTTGCTTGATATTACCACTGAAACCCTTACTATGTTGCCACTTTGCTATGATGAATAAATATCAAAATGCATAGATTTTTCCAAATCAAATGCATGTTTAACACAAGCCCTTCATAATTTCGTTTGTGTCAAACATCCTAACTAGTGTTTGAGATGCAAAAATATGTGTTATACAGTATTGTAATATAGGTATTACTATCCTGATGTAGGGATTATTGTTGTGAAGTGGTTCTGCCAGATAGCTGGAAATTATGTAATATTGAACATTGCCTTTGAAACACGGTTTCATTTATTGGCCTAGAACTTTTTGGTGAACATTGAAAATGTTCCGATGTCTTGATTTCTAACAGGAACGTCTCTGATTTAAAGCTTTCGTGACTGCAGTGATTCATACTCTTGGTTCTTTCGGTAAAGTCACGTCGAAGGGAAACATTAAAATAATAAAATATATTTTATATTGTTATATATTTTATTATTTTATTGTTTCCCTTCAACGTGACTTTACCGAAAGAACCAAGAATAGGAACGTCTCTATCAAGGCAATGTATTTGGGTCATTTAATCAACATTTTAATCTGGCCATATGTTAAATACATTGTTATTTTCATAAATCTTAGTCATATACAGTACTGTACTCGTCATCTCCTTAATGTTAAATTTTATCTCCATTATATTATGCAGATTGTCTGCAACATTTTTATCTATTTATAAATGGTATCCATCAGCCATGTTCAATCCACTGCTAGATGAAGGTCTCCGTAATCCGTCGCCGTCCCTAACTATCTTGTAATTAATTGATTTTACCTTCCTCTGGACGTCTTCATGGATGCGTTCCAATCCCTTGGCTGTTCCTGTCATGCTTTACGATCTCCCATCATCCCTTTGAGCGAAGTGTCCTGCCCAAACCCACTTTTCTGAACAGAATATCCTCAAACTTCGTATGTTATTGAATCCATGTGCACTTCTTTCTAAATGGTTGTAATATGCCTTACTGCTTTATTTGATGGTTCGTATTGTTACTGCTTTATGTTGATGATATCCACACTCATAGTTTTCTCATGGTGTTAAACTATTCTACATGCCCATTTTATACTGTGCTCGGTAACCTAACATTCACCATTATGTTCGTTAAGGTGTCGCTAATGAGCATTGGAATGTTGAACAAGCATTGGCGATGTTCAGTTTTAAGATGTTGACATTAAATGCGTGCATTTATCCACGTGGTGGCACTCCATCCACGTGGTGGCACTTTTCACATGCGCTTCTTCGAGTCGACGTCATGTCAAAGTTGCTAAGATGACACAAAAAGGGCAACGCCTCACTTCCCATTGGCTCCCACATCTCCACTTGATTCCCGTCCTGCGGCGACATCATTAGGACGATATCACCGAGACGGAGCTGTCATGTAGGGGATGGGGTTGGGAAAGATGTTCCCAGGATTATACAGCTGACGGCGCACACGAGTATCACGCGGACATAGATATTGCTTAACTAAACTTTTGTAAGTTTACATGTCCGTATTTAGTCTTCTATGCATAATACATACGATAATACATGGTGTTTGCATATACAGCACGTAAACTATATATACTGCGATATATTAAAACTACATTTCATATGCTACGAGTCGTGATCAATGACCCAGAATATATTTCACAAACGGCACATCACTTACACTTTACCTCCCGTTGTGGCTGTGCCAATTAGTCCACGTGCCTATTCCATTCCAACGGCGACTTGGAAAACGTTCAGTGAGAAATGAAGCCCAAAACAGTATATTTTGTGCAGTATATATGCTTTATGTGTCGTATGTGCGTGCAGTTTACATACTGTGGATGTATATATTGTGTTCATCTATCTATACATGCTTCTGTATATGCTGTCCGTAGCTCTGAATAATTACGCCAGATTTTCTCATAATTTCGGCGCGGATGCTGATATTTTAGCACTGATGTTGACACGAGCACCCAAGTCGATCTTCTGCACATGTCCTCGAGGGAATTTTTAATGTAGCCAGTGACGCAACGTGGTTGGCATAGGGGATTGGGGGCCGTCCATAAATGACGTCACGCACCTAGGGGGGGGTCAGTCATTTGTGACGATGTGTGACGACGGGGGGGGGGGGTGAGAAATGTGACGTCACATCAAAATGCGCAACTTTAAATAAATATAGATAACACGTTCTACTTAATGAAATAGACTTTTAATAAATGTTTTCTCCTACAACATCAGAGTGCAGCGCCACATTAAATACGCACTACAATGACAATAGTTTAAAGCGATTTGAAGCATGTTTTATTTTCAAAATGGAAATATGTTTTTTTTGGAGGGGGGGACAGAGCTTTGTGACGTCATATTTTAGGGGGGGTCTGACTTTTTGACGCCGTGTGACGAGGGGGGGGGGGGTCAAAAATCGTCAAAAATCGCGTGACGTCATTTATGGACGGCCCCTTGGGTAGCCCCCAATCCCCCCTACCCCCCCTCGTCCCAACTGTTGATAAGCTCAGTCCCTCCGGGTCGTGGGACCCAGCGCAGTTGCGTATTTGGCACACTCCATGGCTCATACCACTGCCCCAGTAAACATGGAACGTTGGGCCAATGTTAGTCGAACTGTTCCAATCACGTGCAAACGTTGACCCAACGTTGCGTGTTTACTGGGTGTCGACAAAAGCCTTTTCGCATGGCAGTTACGGCCGTAAATCGTGTCGGCACGCTCGTGACAGCAACACCTGCGCATGTGAAATGTCCCATTGTCACAGTGCATATTGTTCATAGAGTGCATTGCCATGCCGTTGCATTAGCGGCTGCACGTCAAAGAACATGCAGGGGCCAACCGCTTGTATGTGATTCTTGGTGCTCAACTTGTATTATATTTCTACACTTTTCTTGCACATTAAGATCAGAAATATGCGGGCGGGCGGGCGGGCAGGGAGTGACGAGGACCTGCTTGGATGTTAGTCCCAGTACACGGTGGTCTTGTTTTATCGTGAGGCTTGTGTTGTGTTGTTTACAATAAAGCAGCGTGTTATTGTTTTCGTGCTTGTTACCTGTTTTCAGTCATTTAACAAAACAAAACCAGATGTAACCAGGGCCCAGAGTACCGAATTGCCATAGCTCCTATTACACATGGAAGGATATCTCCCGTGTAGCCTTTTAACAGGCTGTTGGCGAGCACCTATTAAGGCCGACGCGGCACACGATACAAAAAAACGCATGCGTATAAAGACGTCCCCACGCAAAAGTAACAGTGGAACAATTATATTCGCACAAATAAATGCACGCAAAATCATATAAAGTAAACAAACATGAATAATACATACTCTTTGGTTCTTTCGGCAAAGTCACGTAGGTAAAAATAAAACGAATCACGACGTTTCGATCGCAACACAAGCGATCTTCATCAGGTGGAACAACCACAGCAAGAAAAAATGCTGAAGTAGGCGAGAGAGCAGCCGTGGCAAGAGGATATATAGGTAAGAAAGGGGGAGAGAGAGGCAGCTCTCTCGAAACGTCGCGATCTATTATTTTTCTACCTACGTGTCTTTAACAAAAGAACCAAAGATTATGGATTCCTGCAGCCACGAAAGCTTCAAATCAATACATGTACAAACACAACCTGGCTGAATGAAGTTCAGAATCAGAATATGCATTTATGCTGGAGGAATCCGATTTACAGATGTCCAGGAAATTCACGAAGCGATTGCGCGTCGCGGCGGCCAATGTGCACTTTGCATGCCGATCATTTTACCGGCAGCTGATTGGCTGGTGTAGCCTGAGTGAAAACGTCAATCATACTCTTTGGTTCTATTGGGTAAAGTCACGTAGGTAACGTGACTTTACCCAATAGAACCAAAGAGTATGGATCCTAGCAGTCACGAAAGCTTTAAATCTAGAACGTCAATCATAGCAACCACTTTATCGGAATCTTCGTTGCGAAGTGACTTCAACAACGCACATATATATGCTCCGGGTTTTTGCACGACGCATTTTCGTTGCCGATGCAAATCGCCGCCTGTTATTTTGGTGCTGTACTCAAGACCCCAGAACATTTTCAACTCGGGGAGGAAAATACCGATTTTCCAATATCCAGCAGTGGAGAGACCACGGCTGATGATAATGGCGACGATCACGATGAACATGATGATTTGTAAGCAGTAAATACTGAGACATTGAATGATTGACAAGAGTCCATGAAAAGCACGTGGCGGGCAGTCACGAAGGCGAGACCACGTGCCCCCACTCCCTCCCCCCCGCTAATCACGTGAGACGATCCGGCGTTTTACATTCCCTACCACGCATACGCACGAGCGAGTACCCCCTCCCCTTCACCCCAAAACGTGACGCCCCAATGGGCCACGTGCGAGCGCTCCGCCAATGGTGATAGAGTGGGTGGGGGTGGTGAGGGGGGGGGTGTTTGGGAGGGTGGGGGAGGGGTTTGGGAGGGGTTTGGGAGGCTGGGGGAGGGGTTTGGGAGGGTGGGGGTGGGGTTTGGGAGGCTGGGGGAGGGGTTTGGGAGGGGTTTGGGAGGGTGGGGGTGGGGTTTGGGAGGCTGGGGGAGGGGTTTGGGAGGCTGGGGGAGGGGTTTGGGAGGGTGGGGGAGGGGTTTTGGAGGCTGGGGGAGGGGGTTGGCAGGGTGGGGGAGCGGTTTGGCAGGGTGGGGGGGGTTTGAGAGGGTGGGGGGGGTTTGAGAGGGTGGGGGGGGTCCTCGCTTGACGGAAGCGCGCTAGGGATTCTAATCGCGGGGTTCACCCCGACTCGGCAGAGACACGCAGTGTCCCCCCCACGTCCCTCCCCAGCAAACCACCCGAGCCGGTTACAGTCGCGCTCACGGTGTTCGCACACTGACGGCTCTATCCACCGCTGGATACGGAGGCCCTCTTCCACGCCGTGTGGGGGACTGCTGCGCCCACGGGGTTGCGTTCACTTTAACCCTTCTCTTCGTCACGCTGGTCAGTGCGGGGGCAGGGGGTTTGAGGGGGGTTTGAGGGGGGTTTCGGGGAGTTTGTTATTGAAGCCGGTTTTCGCTTCGGAGCGCAGCGGAGCTATGGTTGTTATTGCTGCACCGCCCTCTGCTGGTCACAGCGTGGCGACAACAGCGGCGCAGCTGATCGCCGATCACAAGTCTGGTCTCGACAGCCTTGTCGCCCAAAGCAAGCAAGCAAACCGTGTCTTCTAGGCTTCAATTAAATTCTGCTTGGCTTGCGAGATCGGGCGCGGTTTTTTTTCGGTGGTCATTGAACGGTGCCGTAGTTGTAGTAGTAGTAGTTGCAGTATTGGTCGTGATAATTATTAGACGGGTGATTTTTAGCGGAGGAACCCCCTCCGGTTGGGTAAAGGGGGATTTCTGGCCCGGCTTCGTTTCATCGCCGGCCTGTTTAAAGGGGTGAGGACAGCAAAGTGGATCGTGATGATCGGACGTCTCCTGGCCTGGTAACGTTTGGACATCTTGTAAGGGCCGCTGGAGCCGCAGCCGTGGGCGCGGATGCCGTCACGTCCGACGACTCTTTATACGAGTGGTTTTTTTTTTAATGATTTATAATTATTTATCATTTTATAATTGTTTTACTGTACTCCGTTGGGGGCGGCCTTGTGGCCTGTAGACTGGAACGGCGCTGACGCTGTTTTTGGGGTGTGGGTATCGTTGGCGAAGGTGGTGCTTTTGGTCGTGAGTTTTATTCGCTTTTAAATGTATTGCGATGAATGTGGTGGTGAAACATTTGGCTTACCACGCTACTGAACCCTTCAAATGTATTCTGAAACTCGTTAACCACTCAACTTAGCACTTGGTAACTCGCGACAATGACTCCGTATCCTCAGAATATGGGGCCATTGGCAGATCTGTGTGACTGGGGCTGAGATTCGTTTGCAATGCGTTAAGGGGACATCTGAGCCGGTAGCTTTTGATCGAATCGCGAGTGAAACACCGAATTACCACGAACTATCCGTTTAATCTGTACTGTGCTCTTACGTAACGCGTCCTCGGTACACATAGGGGCTGAGTGTGGTGCTTGATTTGAGTTCATGTCAACCCATACGGTTTATTATACCCCGTATTCTTGTACAGGGACATTTGAATATTTTCAGGTCCATGCGACGTACAGCCCGTTTCAATACGGGCAAAACATAAATGTCTTTGTCTATTTGTTTGTGTTTCTCCAATTGTGATGGGACTTTGTATGATGAAGGATGAGCGTTATCAGGGGCACGGGGTGACCAGTAAGGTCCGAATTGGTTCTGCCATCAGGTAGGGCACTGACAAGGTGCTTGGCAGGTTTGTTGATCCAATTAACCATCGCAATCCCTCGTGTTTGGCTGCTTCTTCAGCGACATTACGAGAGGTCGAGGCTTCGATCACGGAGAGACGCACATTGCGGCTCTGTCAAAGGACTGGCCGCATCCATCATTCATTAAGGACCACGCCGTCTCCTCGCCAACACGGTGGGCATTGCAGTTCTTGAAATATTGAGGGGTGATTTTGTTGTTATTGTTACCTAATTTGCGTGGGGGTGGGCGGGGGGCGGAATGTCTATTCTTGTTACTTTGGTTGCCTATCCCTGGTGTGGGAGATCGATAACCGTTACCAACCCTCGTCGTTAAGCGCGGTGAAGTATGGCGAAATACCCATCATGACCGATGCGTGTGTGATTTTGGGGAGCGGTGGTGCAGTGGTTAGTGCGCCGCGCTACGAACCCGGCGACCCGAGTTCGATTCCCCCTGGCGGCCACCACCGGTGACGATTATCTGAACCGGTCACGGGCCTCCCCTAGGTTGACAAAGCTTGCAATGAGTACCTGGTGCGGTGTGTAAACATCACCACTGGGAAGACAAAGGCGGCCGGGCGTAGTGCTGGCCACCCACCTCGTGCGCTGTGCCGGTCTTCATAGGTGCTCGCAAACAGCACTTGCCCCTACAGTCTATTCACGCTTTACGGGGGGATCTTTGTCTTTGTTACACACTGTTTATGTGGGTATTTACCGTACTGTGTAATTCACGTCAATTCACCTTCATCCAGCAGTTGGTGGGATTGACGACGGGTTGTGTACATTTTGCTATTCGTATAACATTGTTTCTCTTTTCTTGTGCAGCCGGTGGCAGTGAAACATTTTTTTGAGTTCGAGACGTTGATGCCACGAGCAATGGAGAACGCAAAAGAGGTGAACGCATTGGGTGGTCATTATCAGACTAACCAAGATAATAATCCATTAGCCGCGGTGGCGAGATGGTACGCAGGGGCGCGTGGGTTCGATCCCCACCCAGACGCCTGCTGTATAGTTGGAGTTGACGTGTCTCTCTCCCCGTGGTCGCGTGGATTTTTCTCCGGGTCCTCTGGTTTTTCCTTTCACATTTAGAAACATGTGTTTGACAGTATTTGGCTGCTATAAATGCCCACGTGATAAGCCACCACTTCGTTTAGCTATCATTTGTGGCCAGGTCACTTCCGAAAAAGAGCTGTATAGCTCAGTGGGCCTTACCTGGTAAATTAAAAAATAGTTTTTAGTTTAATTGGATGAGCCCTTAGATTATACATTCGACCAGGGCAGTGTTTTTGACATAACGCATCAAGGAAGAAGATGTGTCATCTTTCCACGTATTTTTTGTGCGTTTAGGTTGTAAAAAATACAAATGTTTATAGCAGTACTGTGTAATCTGATGCATTTTAAGTGTAAAACGGTTCTAAGTTAGATACATTGTGTCAGCTTTGTTTTACGATTTTCATTGTTTCAATGAAAGCAATGTTCAGTGCAATACTGCAGTGGCTTTTCTTTCATGTCAGATGACACGGGGTTGGGCAACGTTGGACCAGTTTAATATTTACTCGGCTCCCTTCCTGGAAATCGAGTGGTGTTGCAAGTTTATGGTTTTACAGCTGCTCCCTGCTGCGCCGGCTGTGCGTGCTGCTGGTTTAACATTTGGCTTGTTTTCGGTTTACGTCCGATTACGATGCTTTTTGGTGTCAAGTGCGCTAAACCGAATACTGTATGTTGTGAGTGGGTGTCACGACCTTGTATTGTCGTGTATAAATTATTTTACAACCTAGTCCTCATGTAGACCGATAGGTTGTTTGCAGTAGTATAGCGGTTAGCGCGCTGGGCTATGAACCCAGTGACCTGAGTTCGATTCCCGGACACGACCAATAACAGTGATGAATATTTGAATCGGTCCTGGACCTTCCATAGGTCGACTCGGCCTGAGACGAGTACCTGGTGCAGTGTGTAAACATCAGCAGTGGCAAGACAAAGGCGGGTGGGCGGGTATGATGCTGGCCACCCACCCCATCGTGTGCCCTGCCTCCTTAATAGATGCTCATTAACAGCACTTTTCCCAACAATATGTTAAGGCTGGATGCGGAATCATTGTCTTTGTTTGTGTGTTATATCCCCAGGAGTTTGTGGAAGTTCGCGTCCGAGATCCCCAAATCCAGAACAGGAATTCATGGCATCCTCACGTGGATTATGAGATATTCCTGCACGTAAGAAGTTGTCCTCAGTAATGCACACCGCTGAGTATTTTGCTCATGGCATATTTTCATTTTCTCTGTCAAGCAGAACTCATGTTTTTCAGCAGTGTCATAAATGCCAGCCTGCTGAGCTATAGAAACTGCCGTATTTTTGGCATTGGTTAGCAACTGTAAAAAAAACTCGTAAACCCAATGCAAAATATGTACTTGTACATAACTTTTATAGGTCCAGTAATCATCAACCAATGACGATATGAAACCTTGTGTTCAGTCAGGCATTTGCCAGTGTGGTGGCCAACCTATTGAAATTACTTTTGTGAAATATATTTATTTAGTCCCTTTTTCTCCATTATATTATCTCTGCCTTAATCTCTGCCTTGATACTTGAAAGTAAATGTATGATGCTAATCAGACTTCCTCGTTCGAGGTGCACCCAAGGCCCTCCCTAGGATTGAACGACATGTGTGACAGCACAAGGCGCCTTGATCCAGGGTGACACTTAGTAAAATCCAAGTCTTATTTTTGCCTCAATCTGAAAGCGCTGTCACGTGTAACAGGTGCAGTTATGGTCATAATTCGTGCGTATTATCACGCCACCTTCTGATGAAAGGGGTGGGGGTGGATAGGAGGGCACCGAATGTAAAGTTTGTGCAAGGTGCCAGTTCTCTAGCCCTGGATGCACCATTCAACATCAAATATACAATCCATCGTAACTGAAATTCACAAATTATTTGGTCTTAATTTTCATCGCTTGGCCCTGGTGGTAACACAGTTGTTTTTGTATTTTCCAAGAGTATTAGCTCTTGTACATTGAGGTCAGACATGACGTGATGTGGAAGAAAGCAAGAACGGTGCACATATCAGTCAAGCTGAAATAAAATTGATATTGAAGTTCCGGACAATGGAGGAAAACCACATCTGAATAAGAAAGGTGGTGGAGACCGAGAGGCAGGCCGGGACAGAGGTGGGAAGCGGTGAACTATGATAAGAGGGACTATGGAGTGGACATGGAGATGGCCCAGAACAGGAATACATGGAGAAAGAAGACCAGGAAGTCAAACCTCACATTGGTGGGAAATATTCCAGGACGAAGAGGAATACTATTAACTTTTTACATATTGGCTGAAAATAATTTCTCGTTACTGTTGTACGTACGCAACATTTGTGCTTCAGGTTCTCGGTGTCGGTTTTTCTTTTTCAGACTAACAGCATAAGTTTCACGCGCAAGGTGTCTTGCACCCGTCGTCGATTCCGGGAGTTCGTGTGGCTGCGCAAGTGCCTGGAGAAGAGCACGAATCTCGAGTACGCCGTCTGCGAAGAAGGGCGGCACCCACGAGATTGAACCATGCATGTAGTCTGTGACCCGGTTTTACTCTTCCAGTTGTTGATTGCTTTGCATCTTTTTAGCCGCTAGATGGAGCTCTTCACCAAGCTTACGTTTTCTTTGGTTCTTTCGGTAAAGTCACGTAGAATGAGAATAAAATAATACATTGATAAAATAAAATAACACAGTAATATTCTCACGACGTTTCGGCCACAACACAAGCGGCCTTCATCAGGTGAAGGGACGAGACTGCCGCTTGTGTTGTGGCCGAAACGTCGTGAGAATATTACTGTGTTATTTTATCAATTTATTATTTTATTCTCATTCTACGTGACTTTACCGAAAGAACCAAAGAAGATGAATCGTTGCAGTCACGAAAGCTTTAAATCGAAATTCAAGCTTACGTTTTTAAGTATTATCAACACTATCACGCGCAAATTTGGTTAATTGAATTCCGTGTGCATCGTATATTAATATCACGGTGAAGAGGTATGCGTATTTTTTTAGTGTCGGAGGAATTTGCGTGAAGGTATTTATCAGACACCAGGGAGCATAATGCAGGCATACACCACGTATCTGTTGTTCACTGTTGCTATCAAACTGCATTGGCTCTGATCAATCATTGCTTTGTGTTGATACAGGCAGCTACCGGACCTGCCACCCGGGAACCTCTTTTTCAGCTGCTACAACGAAAATGACGTTGAGATGAGGAGGCAGGGCCTTCAGAATTTCCTGCACAGGTTGGCCTGCATGCCCACATCGGCCACAACAACAGACACTTTCCCTCTACCCACAGTGGTGCTTGGCAGTTTGCTAAATTATATGCTAATTCCTTTGTCAAGGCGCTTTGTTTTCTTCTCACACAGCTTAAAGGTCGTGATCTAAGCGTGGCTTTTCTCACTCCAGCGCTGTCCTCCAGACAGTCTCGTCCCTTCACCTGATGAAGGCCGCTTGTGTTGTGGCCGAAACGTCGTGATTTTTTGTTATTTTATTTTCACCTACGTGACTTTACCCAATAGAACCAAAGAGTATTAAGTAGTGTGTTTATTTTTCCAATGTAAGCTTGATGCTCTTTTTCACCTTAATGCTCTAATGTATTTGTTATATTTAACTCTGTGTGTGCTGTATATTGTGTGGTATAATGTCACTTGTGGTGGCTTGGTGGCATACTGCACCATGAACCTGGCGAATTTAGTTTGATTCCCGGCCACACATTTCTTTAGAAATTATTTTTGTGTTTAGTTTTGTTGTCCGTCTCCCGCACCTCCAATTAGTACAGTTGGCTACGTATGGTGCGAAAGAAGTTCAACATGTAACCATGCATCATCAACATTGGGCGTGATCAATCATTGGTCAATCCACTTGCTTCCGTCACCATCTCTGACTCCCGGCCACGACCAACAGTGGCAAGTGATATTTGAACCTGACCTGGGTGTTCCTGCTTCTCCTACACACACCAGCATCGTGAAGTCTGGTCAAACAATTGTCATGGCCAACAGCCTCCATTCAGCAGTGGGTCGACAAAAACCTTCCTACTTTTACAATATTACACAAATTACACAAGAAGCAGGAATAGGTTTTGCCCTTTTAACTGGCACAAAAACTGACACCTTTATTCAAGGCAACATGTTTGCAGTTAATTTGTAATTTGTGGGCACTGGGATGAAGCAATGAAAGTTAAACTTGGCGCATGTTCCCCATTGTCTTATGTCGGCATGTGTCAGGATAGTGAAGATGATCGTCGTGCTGTCGGACAGCCGTCTGCACCTGTTCCTGCAGAGCCGGCTGAGCGTAAGCGAGATGGACGCGTGCGTCTCTGGCCTCACCAGCTTCTCCGTCCGCGATGCCATAATGTGCCAGCAGCGCGCCGGCTGCCGCTTCCCTATGGAAGAGCCACCACTGCAACCGCAGCAGCTGCGGCAGCCGCAAGAGGAGGAGGAGGAGGAGAATGAGGTGGCTCCTGCTAGGGATGCGTCGCCCCCTCGCAAGAGCCACCCAGATGTACTCGCCATGTCCACATACGATGGCGAAGGAGAGAAACCCTGCTGCGGGGAATATGACACAGAGAGGCAAGTGCAGCTCAGCGCATGACCCGATGAGGCCGATATTAGGAAGCCGCCACTAGATTGAAATCACATTTCTTTAGAACTACTTTTTGTGTTTAGTTTGTTGTCCGTCTCCTGCACCTCCAATTTGTACGGTTGGCTACGTACGATGCGAAAGAAGTGCGACATACGTGTGCATACATGTTACCGTGCATCATCAACATTGGCCGTGATCAATCCATGGTCATTCCACTCACTTCCGTCACCATCTCTTAACGGTTCTGCGATCTAACAATCCACCACACACACGAGCTGATTTCATCACCGCATCTCCTTGGAAGTGTTTCCTTGCCTGGACTGATGTATTGGTTCAGTAAAATTTATTGTTATGTTCAAGGTATACATGCGTCGAAGCAAACTTGTGAGAATTTGTTTATTTACAATTTGGATTTGTATGTGTATTTGGCAAGATCTAGAGTTGCTGGTAATTTAAACGAGTAAAACTGTACAAAAGTACTTCTAAAAAAATGTAACAGTAAAGAACTAGAATTGATTATCACATTGCGACTCCAGATAATGTAAGTTTAATTTCTGCGAGGTGTACTGCACTGACTGACATGGCAAAACGTGGTTGGATAAATATCTCACAAGACCCTCAAGGCATGGTGAGACCCTCATCCAGCAGTGGATTTACAAAAGGGCCCTGCATGTACGTGATGTGTCGTTACCTGCCTAGACATGATGATCTCTGAAGCAGAGAATGATGCAAGGACTGTGAGCAGTTCTATGCTGTCCACCAACATGCTCGTGCCTGAGACAGTCTCAAAATCCTTGAACTTTTTTTAAATCAAAAGTGGATTTTTTTTGAAAGATCAGCATGAATATGCGAAGATAATTAATGCTGCTTGTTATAAGTCTCATGAACCACACTCTGGTCGGTTGTAATTGCACACTTTTAATAGGAATGATGCCCTTTACCCAGGAAAGTATATATTTTTTAGGAAGAGTCCTGTCTTGCTTTGTTTGGCGAATTTGTTGTGCGTTACATTAATATCACATTTTGTGTTTGTACTCGCAGTGAACAGGACTCTGGGTCGGGCTCACACAACAATTGCTTGGAGTAACTTCGAGCAACATCACAGAGCCAGCAGAGGGAGCCAAAGCAGAAAGCATTCAGCTTAACCAACCCAGCAGCTGACATCTCCTGGCTTTGAAATGGACCAGCTACCAGCATGTACCAAAACGCTGGGCAACTGGGATCTGGCAAATTCCCGACAATCAATCCACTGCTGGATTAGGGTCTCACTCATGCAGTACAGGTGGTGGTGGGTTGTATGGCTATACCGCACCATGCTGGTCGGTCTGGGTTGGTGAAAACGCAGAGCCACAGACAGGAGCATAGCAGTGCAATGGATTGTGCTCCACTGCCCTCTGCTGCCCACAAAGTAGCCCAGTAACAGGCTACAACACCTGTTTTATGCACAGTGAAATTGGGACCTGTCAAATCCCCGCACCATTATAGCCTCTTGCAAATCACCGTGGAGTCCTCCGTAATGATTTTGATATTTAATTTATACACGTGTGTGTGTGTGTGTAGGGTTAAGTTTTGGGTCGCACATATGGCTTGTAAAGGGGTGTCTGTGTGCGCGTCTTAAATGTTGGAAGTGGTGGCAGTTGTGCTTGCATGCAGAATTGGGTCTTTAACCCCACCACAGCTATACTGTGAGCAATATTGCTTCTTTAACATCTTGGTAATATATTTTAAGGTGTCGCTTATTACTTTATGAATATATGCATTAATGTTTGACCTTTACCTCCTTTAATGTACGCATGTGTACATTTTGGAGTTTGAAAACATGCATTGTGTAGACATCACAATTCAGCATACAAAAAACTGAGTTAACGATATAAAATATCAGCTTCATAATTATGGATGGCACATTGCCCGTATTTCAAGATACAGTGGTATAATAAGCTTTGCAATTATAAATGTTCGAATGTTTTAGAAAAATTGTTTTTTTACATAGAAGAGAAAGCTAATGTAGAGTATAAATTATTTCAATGTTGCACTGGTTTGTATCCTGTCATTACGATTTTTATTTAATTAACATTTCCTAAAGCACATGCAGACATGTTTACGAAGACAGCAATTAGATCAAACTGTGCAATACGTATACTGTGGAGTATTACTTTATACAGTGTTCAAAGTTATATTTTCTGCTGGTGAAAAGTGAACATCTTTTGGTGTGGCTTGTATGATAATTGTAAATTCTGGGACAAAGTTGGTGCTTGAAATGTTTAATAAATATTTCTGGTATGCAGCACTCTTTCAGTTGCCCTGTGCCTATCTATCATCACTACCTCTGTTTATAATCAGACTTGTCGAGGGATTTTTTTTTCCCTCTTAACACAAACTTGCACGCCGAGCTATATTTAGGCATTCAATACCCAGCAGTAAAAAATAAAATTCTGTCACTTCATAGCAAAACATTGCTGCCATTGCCAAATGTTAACCGTGAGCATAATGGCGTTGAGATGACAACTGTGACGGCTCCAGCTTGAAGTGCAATCTAAACTGGCTCTGACAATCATCCACGGAGCCGCACGGAGCCGGGTCTTGCGGCAAAAGCATCGGTAAGTCCAGACTTATTCCAGGCACGCGCCGAATTAGAAGTTAATGGCTCAGACCGTCCATAATTTACCTTGTTGCTGAGATTGCCGCCAGTGCTGTGCAGGTCGTTATATTTTAAGAGCGCCGTGGTGGAGCGGGCGGGGGATGATGGATCATGTTTGTGAGGGCCTGGACAGATTGGCACCACCGAGGAGCTCCAATCAGTGGGCGACCTCGGGGGCCTGCCTTGAGGCTCTGAGTGCCGGCCTTGTGCTTTATGCTGCTGTGCAAAATAAGATGACATGGGGACCTGCTGGTTCTGAAGCGATGGCCCACCCAGCTGTAATGCCGTATGGACGATAGCTCTTCGACGAAAGGCCCAATTATTCACTCTCTGCCTTGAGTTGCAGATACCCTCACGAATGGGCTTACTTGTGTGTTACACAAAGGGTATCGGGAATGAAAAAAAAATCCGCATTAATTGACTCGCACGTCACTCATTTTATTCACTCGTTGCAAGTAACGCATGCGATTACCTCTTCCCGACGTAGCTTACTGAACAAATAAATCCCCTAAAAAATAATGGGAGAGCATCTGCGCGGTACCGTAATTGTTTCGCTCGCGGTCGTTGGGCGGAGGCGTTCTTAAAACGCTGCGCTGCAAAAAAAAGAAATGGGTAAAACTGCAAGATGCAGATGGAGCATGGGGAGATCTGCCCCGTAGATGCAAGGGGACGGCAAACAGATGGCCCGCGCAGCTTTATTGCCCGCTCCGTCAAACCCATAAGTCATGTTCTAATATCAAGCGTGTCAGATTATGGCTCTCTAGCCATCGCCGCCGCTTCATCACCGCATGCATCCTGCCCGGAGATGCGTGACCTCATGTAGGCGGTCTTGACGTTGAGCCTTAGAGGTCACAACAGGCCTTCTTGCTCGGCAGAGAATGAGGCCACGCCGTCGCGCGCACCGAGCTGTATATTTCTCGCGTCCCGCGTCACGCCGCTGTAAAACGCCGGTGCCGTGGTAGAAAAATGCCTCGTGCCATTGCTGCCAATGCGGGTTCTGAATTTTTTTGCGTCGGAGGGATCGGGCATAGCTGGGGCTGTTTTTCATGGGCGATTGCACTCGTATTGTTTGGGAAATCCGCATCTAACCTATATAACCTGAAATTTGATGTTAACATGTAAACTATTTTTAATGACGAGTGAATGGCCGTAAATGTTTCCTGTTATATAAATGTAATATTTTGCTCTATACTGTATTTAATATTTCCAATGATGGACGAAATTGATATTGTTTTTGTTTTGTTTAATCGGCATGAGCTGCAGTGTCTTTTATGACCCAGATCTCTATTAAAAAAGAGACTTTGAGCCTCAAATCGCTCTCATTTCGTTTTCATAATCAGAATATTTCATTCACACTGGAGAATTCCTATGAGCTATGAAGCTCTTTTTCACACACGTCCAGTCGGGGCATATCTACCTACCTAATTTATATATCCTCACGTATCCTGTACACATGGTGACAGCTTCCAGGAGGCCTGCTTCCAGCAGTCGATAGATCGTGGCTACTGATGACCCTAAACTCATCGCTGTGCTGAGAGAAAATAGGATTCTAAATGTGGACACTATCAGCCCCTCCCTGGCTTCTCAATCGCCCCCCTTGGGCCCCTGATTGACCTGGGCCCTAGGGCGACTCGTGCGATGACAGTGATCTCCATCTCAGGGGTGGTGGTGGGGGGGGGGCGTGATTGCCAGCGTCGTTAGAGGGGTTAGACAGGGTGGGCTGTGTCCACTGTGACCTCTGACCCTCGTAACCTTGGCCATACAGATTGCGTCCATTGCCGCTGCGACCAAGCTGGGCTTAATGCACTCTCCTCGGACGAGAAACTGGTTTTAGTCGCCTGCGAGCCATGTCCAGCGGTCTTGAATGGGAAACGTCGAAGTCCCCACGGTATGCAACCTATCCCGCCAGCAGAAGCCCCATGGTCAGTGCGCAAACACCGTGGTGTAGGAATAGGAATTGTTCTAAAGAGTGGCTGTACACATGCATGTTTGGCGTTCTGAGAATTACTGTCGTTTTGTGTGTGTGTGTGCTTAGTTTGTTGTTCTTACCCCCCCCCCCACCCCCGCACCTCCGATTAGCATGGTTGGCTACGTACGGTGCGAAAGAGGTTCAGCATAGATACATTACAGTTCAACGTACAATCCCTCCACTCAGCCGTAGGACCAAGCGTCACAGGCCGAACGCAAGATTAACAAGTGTCAGAGCTGGTTGAGCCCCGTTCTCCACAGAACGGGGCTCAACCAGAATGAAGTAAATGAATGAAACTTGACGAGTGGCATCTTTTTTCTCTCTCTTCCCGCCACCGCCGCTCGCTCTCTCGGTCGGCGTGCCTGCAACTCGGGGTTACATCAGCCCCTGTGGCACTCGCCTCCTCCTCCTTTTTATTTTTTTACGACCACGGCGGTTAGGATGACACCAGAGTCATCTCCCGGGCAACCAACGTCGTAAAGTCGTCGTCATGGAAATGGCCATTATGGTAGTGGCGGGGATGTCACCTCGGCAGAGTGAACACGCGCCTGTGTTCTGCCCACAAATCACCGCCTCCACTCCCCCCAGGGGGCCCTCCTGACCACTCCTGACGCATGTTTGGCTTCGGCCTGTGGCTTTGACAGGGCCTCTGGTGATCTTGGCTGTCCTCTTTGTGCCCCCCCTCCCCGACCCACCCCTTCAACAGAAATAAGAATTAAACTACAGCTGCGGGAAGAAGGAGGCAATATTTACATGAGCGGGGTGGCGGCGGCGAGTGTGTTGAGGCACCCCGCGAGATTTATTTTTGCGCTTTATTTAAGCTGTACCACAGCATGCTTTTAAAACAAGAAATGGCCCGGGAAGAGCACTTTCCAAGACGTCTTAAGCTGATACTTTTTTTTAGTGGCGATTTTTGGTGTATTAATACAAATCAACATACCGTGCGATTTCGACCGCCACTCCCCCTCCCCTTCCCGACCTCTCCGCTGTAATGGCAATGGATGAGGCACACTGTTGACTAGCGTCCTCTTGAAACCAACACAAAAGTGCTTCTCGTAACAAAACGGCCGCAAGGAAACGTATACGCGGACCACGCGCTGGACCAAAGTATTGCCTCTTACTTGCATCCCATTTCTTTTTTTCTGTACCTTTGCGTAAAGACAAGCAACACAGGGAAGCATGAAAATAGGAGCTCACAGATTTGCCAGCAGGGGAGTGGAGGGGGGGGGAAGGTCAGATGCTGTGTGTGTTGAAGGAGGGGGGGGGAGTTGCTGGGATGTGGGAGGAACTGAGTGGCTGGATCCTGCTGCCAAACCCCATAACTCACCCACAGACGCGCACAAACACTTGGGGGCCATAAATACCTCGAGGCTCCCACGCACGTCCCATCCAAGCCAGACACTCAGCAAGCAGAGAGGGAGACACACACGCACACGGGCTCCCCAGGAAAGGGACGGCTGGACCCATCACAACCTTGCATGGATTTGCACATGTGTTTCTATGCTTCCATGCATGCATGTGTGTGTGTGTTTGCGGGGAGCGGTAGTGCAGCGGTTAGCACGCTGCGCTACTAAGCCGGCGACCCGAGTTCGATTCCCACTCACGATCGGCACCAGTGACGATTATCTGAAGCGGTCCTGCGCCTCCCCTAGGTCGACTCAGCCTCAAATGAGTATATGTTGCGGTGTGTAAGCATCGCCACTAGGGAGACAAAAACACCAGGCGTGGTGCTGGCCACCCACTCCTCGTATATGTGAGTGTATGTTGAACTGATTTCGCACCGTACGGAGCCAACCGTGCTCAGCGTGTGCTGTGCTGGGCTTCATAGGAGCTCGCTAGCAGCACTTGCCCCAACAGTCTATGAGGCTAAACAGAGGTTCGTTGTGTGTGGACCCAGCTATATGTCCCCGTAACTAACATTTCTACAACTTCCCAGCAAAAAAAAAATAAGGAATAAATATTCAGAATTTCGATAACCAGGAAGCCCACAATTCACAAGCTCACCTTCTGCATTTAGTAAGGCCTGGTTTCATCACTTACATTTTTTTTTACAATCACATTTCCAGGTACACGAACACATTTTCAATTGCCTTCCTATTGTACATATTCAGTGGCGAAAAAGGCCATTACACTACTTGTCTCGAATACAATTTCTACCCTCGCCGCTCGACCCTCCCTCAATATCTCCCAGTCTAATATATATACATACATACATTGAATCTCATAGGAGGGAACCAGTCGTAAAATACCACGGTGAGAATTGGCTCCTGCAATGCTCCAGATTACCTGGAGCTACTCGGCGCACGTTAAAGCGTCTCGTGTGAAAAAGAAATGGAAATAACAAAAAAAATTAGTTCTCGTCCCATCCCGGTTTTTATGGAAATTAACTATTAATACGGAATTTGCATTCATTTCCTTGTGCCCCCCACCACCACCACTGAATGTTTTATGAGGTGTCAGGCAATGAAAAGCATTGGCCATCACGCCGCTCGTAATGAAATGCGTGCGGAGCATAGCTGCCCGCTTTGCCATGCGAAAAAGAAGGGGGTTGGGAGGGAAAGAAGGGGAGAGAGAGAAGAAAAAAATCACAAATAAATGCGGGGCACAGGCGAGGCTGATGGATGAAAATGGGATAGAGACGTGGGCCACCGCGTTTTAAATGTCACGAAAGTTGGGGAGAGAG